CAGGACTGGAGGGTGATTGTCCCCCTGTGCTCGGCTCTGGTGAGGCCACACCTCAGGTGCTGTGTTCAGTTCTGGGCCCCTCACTACAAGAAGGACATCGAGGCCCTGGAGTGTGTCCAGAGAAGGGCAGCGAAGCTGGTAAAGGGCCTGGAGCACAAGTCCTGTGAGGAATGGCTGAGGGAACTGGGGGTGTTTGGTCTGGAGAAGAGGAGGCTCAGGGGAGACCTTATTGCTATCTGCAACTGCAGAGGGGTGGGAAGCCGGGGGCCGGCCTCTTCTCACAGATAACTAGTGATGGGATTAGAGGGAATGGCCTCAAGTTGTGCCAGGGGAGATTCAGGTTGGAAATTAGGGAAAGAGCAGTCAGGCACTGGGACGGGTTGCCCAGGGAGGTGATGGAGTCACCGTCCCTGGGGGTGTTCAAGGAGAGGTTGGACGTGGTGCTTAGGGATATGGTTTAGGGGGTGAAAGTAGTAGTAGGGTGATGGCTGACCAGATGATCTTGGAGGGCTTTTCCAACCTTAATGATTCTGTGAATCTATGTTTCTATTGTCTGGGACACAATATCCACTCCCCGCTCTGTCTCCAGAAGGAGGTTGCTCTCTGCTCTCTGACAGACCAGCACTTGCGATGGCCCTCAGAGCCGTACTTAGCTTGAAGACATGGTCTGGAGGAAGCCCCGCCATGGGGGAACAGATGGGATTTGGGGAGCAGACAGCTCTGCGCGCTGCAGATCTGCTCTGTTTCCAGGCGCCTGTGGGCACGCAGACAGGCACGTCCACTCCAGCCGCAGAGTCAGCCGTATGCCAGAGCTGAGCAGGGCAGCAGCCTGCTTTGAATAGCAGCTTTGCCTGTCTGCATTTAGGATTATTTGGATAGAGGAATGTGAGAGATGAGAAGGACCAGCATGTGCAAAGCCTGTGGTGCCTGGCTGTGCTCTCTCAGCGGGAAGGACACAGCTGGGTGTCATCTCTGCATATTTCACCCACTCCTGTGGGAACACATGGCCTTCACATGAGCTTGTGCTTATTTGTCCCATCTCCTTCTAAGTTCTGTGCACCTTTTTGTGACTACCAACATTTACCCTCAAGATACGTTTGTGACATGGGGCAGTATCATGCTCACCTTACTGACAGTGGCCTAGGACTGGAGAAGCCAATTTGGGCTGTAATGGGGCCATGCACTGGACACAATTGTGTTGAGAGCTTGTCCAGTGCCCAGTCCTCACGATCAGCCACCCCTCACATGTAGTTTGCTGGCAACAGGGTCCCATCAACTCAACACAACAGTGCATGAAGTCAAAGGCAGCCACCGTCACTTCTGGCATGGTAGGGGCTGGCCATGGAACATATCGTGATGCTGCCTGTGATTTACCTGTGCAGAGCCGCTGCTCGTGGGATGGCTGGGCAACATTCGCAAGGAAGCCTTACAAAATTTGTTCATCAGCAAATTTTCCCATGTTACCTGAAAGGAAAATATTATGAGGAAATGGAGCTGAGTGCAATTGTAAATGTGTGTTAGATGTGGCAATGAACTAAGCGCTCCTGATATATCACTTTTCCCTTCCTGCTGACACATTCCTTGGTCCCCTTGAGTAAGAGAAGGAAAACAGGAGAGGCGGTTTGAAGAACATGTTGTCCCTGTGATTGACAAGAGGCTGTATAAATCAGTCAAAGGGAATCCTCCAGGCATTCCCTCTTGTGGGAAGATCCCACAGTGCTCTCTGGCCATGCTCATTCTGTCTCTCAGTGTTTGTGTACAAAATGTGTGGGTGGGAGACGAGCTGGATTAGAACCTCTGAGAGGAACAGACATGAGCTTTTGTAATTGAAAGCAGCTTTCTAGGGAGGGGTATGACTTGGGCTTCCAGTAAGTAGACACAAATAGTCCCCAAATACTTTGGAACAGATATTAGGCTCCTATGGCTCCTAGCTGCTGTGTGGGACTGAGAACCTGGACAAGCCCCAGTGAGTGAAGTTTCAACTCCTGCCTGATTCCATCATTCTTCAAAGCAAATACTTTAGCGTTTGGTAACACCCTGAAATGAAAAGTACAGCTATCCCTTCTTCCCTCCGCAGCTGTCAGGTGCTTTAGCTGCTGTTTTACGTCATTATAGCGAACAGGAGGAAGTTAAGGAAATAATTTATTTCTCATAAGCATGAATTTGTAGCCGTGAGGAGAGGTGATGCTCTGTCTTCCAGGCCATCGGAATGCATTTAGTTGCCATTTTCTAATATTTTTGTACCCTGATGTTCCTTTCTTGTGTGTGTCCTCCTCTTCCCTCTGAACGCAGCTGTCCTGTACTGCTCGACTGTAATAACTGCTATTGCATCCCCAGGTGCCCTCACACAGCCGACATCTGCCAGAGATGCCTTGGAGGCAGAGGCATGAAAGACCTCTTGCTCTCCTAGCAAGTCATTCTCAGGCGTTGCAGTTGTTGAGCGGCACTCAATAACTGGTTAGAATTGAGAAGGTGATGCATTTGCCACGAGTCTTTGAGACTGTTGAGGTGCTGGAATCTGTAGGTTATTGGGACCATTTATCCTATCAGGTTGTTATTAAAAAATCTCAGAGAAAGTTTTTGCACCAGCTAGACTGGATGGATAGCATCTAGTGTAGAAGAGGCTCTCATAGTCACTCCTAATGTCACCTGGTAGACTTTCTACATACTTCTCAATCACACTCTTCCCATAAAAGATCGTTTTACCTTGGCGCTATTTTGATTTCCTTGTCTGAGCAGCAATGGATCAGCCTCAGCAGGAGGAAGCTTATCTAACCTGCTGAAACCAGACCATTCTAACCAAGCCTGCACAACTCGACTGCACAAGTCTTGAACACAGGCTCTTTATGCAACGCTAAAATTTTTGCTAATGGTCTGAGGCAGAACCAGAACGTGCAAGAGTTCACACACACACACACACAAATCAAACAAGGCATTTAAAAGTTATCAGAGATTTCCAGCCCACCTCAGCAGGGGTTTATTTTGGGTTTCATTCAAGCTTTTGGTGAAGGTCTGGGTGAGTTTTTAATACGGGTTTTCACTCATCCATTATGTGGCACTTAAAACGCACCGACTGTCAGGAATCTTGTTTCTTTCAACCACCTTTGTGGAGCAATAGAGCAGGAGGAGATATAAGAATAAGAACAAAATCATATAAAAGTAATGAGACCTTTGTTCATGTCAAAGAGCTCTCTGACCATATAAATTGCAGATGTGGGTAAGATAAATTCCCTAGCTGGAGAGGTATTAAAATAAAAACCATGCTCCCAACAAGAGACAGGCTGCTGAAAATGCAAGAAGGGAGAATTGCGAAATAGTACATGTCGAATTGCTGGACTGGATTTCAAATGCCAAAGATAGTTTATGTAAAGCCTTGCTCTGCTGTAAAATGTAACACTATCCACTGGCTAGCCTCAATGAAGCTCGGTCCCAGTTGTTTTAAAAAATAAATAAACTAAAAATCTTCTTCCAGCCCATTAAAGCTGATTTATGTTTTGCCCATAGATTCCTCTGTGCTGGATCTTGAGGGACTCAGATTATAGAAGTGATTACCTCACTTTTGGCCAATCTGGTTTCTCGTTCTGAGGCATCCCGGGCTCTCTTTGCATTGCCCTGACTTTGCCTGCTGAGACCAAGAGGGCAGTTCACCGCACGGTTACCAAGTGGGCATAGGATTTTGACCGATTAAAAGCACCTCCGTTAATTCTCTTGTTTCACTTCAGTGTTTTCTTTTTGTTTAAATAATGAGGGAAATTGCTTATGGGAGCAGCTGTACTGACAGCCCATCACCATCAGATTGCTCAGTTTATTCTGCAGTCTTGGAAAGAAATCTAATAACGTCCCCAAAAGTATATGGCTTCACTTAGCACCTAACGCAAGTGGTCTGTGTGATCAGCCCTGGGCTCCCCTGTGGGCTGGTCTCATGGTTAGCACAACCGCTAGAGGAGGTTTGCTCTCTTGGGTTACATTCATAGCTCCTTTGCCAATATGCGTCACGACCACGAGGAATTCCCTCTCTCTCCATGCCACTGAGTTACCAAAGTGGTGTGGATCTTAACAGGTACTCTTCAGATGCTCCGAGAGCCTTAGCTGGAAGCATCCTTCTAGTGTAGCTGGAGCCATTTGGGTTGTGGACATAGCCTTTCTTGTTCTTCCTCAGGGATTGAAGGCTATAGTCATGCATATGCCTTTTTTTGAAGCAGCTTCACTGAGCTTTGCGGTTTCAGGGTAAATCCTACCATTTCTTGCAGCTTTGTTTTCACATAGTGATGGCCCTGCAAGACTCCGTGGTACTTAAATTCAGGCATTCTCAATTTGGGCTTTTCATCTCTGCCAGCATTTGGGATTCATCTGCTTGTTCTTTACTGAAAAGAGAAGTTTGCTTATAATTCCATTGCCGCCTGCCATGGAAAGTGCTGTAGATGTAGGAAGAAGATGATTCAAATTACAGAAACTAGTTAACAAAACGAGAAACAAGTTTGCTTAAATTGGGTTGTACAGACAGGACTTTCCTGGCTACGTTTATTTCCAAGTTTATATGGCCATCTGTGGCTTCCCTGGGGTTACAGTAATACGCAGGTTTAAATAGGACATTGCTTGAGTACTGTGGAGAGCATCTGCAGACTGTCTGTGCTTTGAGCTGGCATGTTCAAAAGTGATCGTCACTTCGACTCCAGTGGGAAGAGCTGCGGTCCGTTTGGGTGGGAGCACAGTTGGGCTGAATGCTGTCAAAGCCCTTGTTGTACCAAATTAAGAGGAAACTGTTGGCTGCCATCCGACTGCTGTGAGTCTTTTGCTCCTTTTTATGGTTCAGTTTTTCTCATTGAGGTGGAAGACCTGGAAACTTCACTTTTGAATAATCTCATGATGTTTAGAAATGTCATTAGCATGTATTATTTTATTTTAGTAGTGCACCTGGAGTTTTTTCCCCACTTTTAACAGCCATACTCTTTTCTTGCTGTCATCTACATCTGTCTTGATATTTCTTTTTTCTCCCTCAGACGTGTCGAACGAAGGTGATTGACTTGAACGATGGCGTCTCTCAGTATGCCTGGTATCCCTGCACAGCCAACTTCCAGTACTCCCACATGACACAGACCATTTTCTGGCTGAAGGTAAGAAGCACACATAGTTGTTCAGAAGTCTCCTCTTTGCCTGCATGTACAAAGTTTCTCCAATAGGTGAAATATCATTGGACAGCCTTCCCAGGGCCAGGAGGCTCCTTTCTTTGAAGTACGGTTAGTGCAAAATAGCAAAACAGTCTCTAAACATGATCTAGACAGTAAGTGGAGAAGTCCCATTCTGTGGCAGGTCTGTTGAGTTTCTTAGAGGCTCTAGCTCCAGCTGCATGGCTGTTTAACTCAAATTTTCTTTAGTTTATGTAGGAGAGAATGGAAGAGAAGATTCGTATGTGACTCGAGATAGGACACGATACTTTAAAAGCCCTGCTCTTACTTTTTTTTTTAAGTGCAGCACAGTTCTTCACCCTAACCTCTATGTGGCTTTTGTTTCCCCAGGCTTATTTTTCCCAGCCAATGGTAGCTGCGGCAGTCCTCGTTCACTTGGTCACTGATGGCACCTACTACCTGGATCAGAAGCAGGAGACTATTGGTGTGCAGCTGTTTGACACCAAAGAGCAAAGCCATGATCTTGGTAAGAGTATTTTATTCACACCCCTTTTTATTGCTTGTTTAACGGTACCCCTATTCACAAACTGTGACCAATACTCCTGCTTAGTTTTTCCAGGATCAGACAGAAAAAGTGCTTGCTTAATTGTCCAAGACCTTAGTTTGACTGGAGTCTGTTGAAAAGGATGCATCATTTTTCCCAGACATTTCTCCACACCTGTTCGCTGTTTTCAGAAGTGTTTAGTTCCTCTTTAGCCATTAGAATAAGGCTATTTCAGTGCTTCGTGCAGAGAACCCCCCTGGAGAGACATTTACAGTGATACAGATGAATTGTTGGTAGTGGAGAGTGAGAGATTAACCCTGTTCTGTACCAGCTGGAGCAGCAAACACTTCTGTTTCACAAGGTGTAGTTGGTTGGATTTCCCAGTCAGAGGGGGCCACATCTAGTCCTGCTTGCAGGGAGGTTTCCACAGCTATTTAATGGCCTGGAAACTGCATCTTCTAAAGCTTCATTGTAATGTCTCCCATAAGCCTGGAGGGGCTCCAGGGATGGCTGCTGAGCCAGCTGTATGAAGAAGGCCATTCACTAGTGCCATTGTCCAGTGTAAGAAAATCATCATCAAGATGCTTTGATGCCTTACAAGGAGATGGTTTTATTACTCTCAGAGATTTTTTTTTCTCTTTCTGGGATAACAAAGTCTTCATGAGAAATGTCAGTTCATCTAGGCCAGAAGTTTTCACACAGAGTATTCCAGGTTTGATGGAAGTCTAACACCAGGGCCCTTGTGGGCTGGATGGAGGGTTCATTGCCTCAGACAAATATGCCTGGCAGAGGCCGCGGATCTGCTAGTCATGGTGAAGTCCTGGGACAGAACATTTTGGTTTCTACACTGGGCATAAGTACCTGGACCCATGAAAATTGTGTCTGGTGCATTGTTACAACTGCATTTAAGATCCAGGATCAATGAGTTCTCCCTAGCTCCCAGCTCTGTGTCAGGGCACGGCTTGCATAATTCCTTTCTAGCCTTCCTTTGCCCTTTTTTCCACTGGGAAGAAAGCTGACCACATCGTCTTGAAAGCAGCTTTTTAAGGAAAGATAGCCCCCTCACCCAGCTTTCTGTTTTACCAGAACTTTGCAATTTTGACAAGCTGAAACGCAAATGAACTTCCTCCTAGTGATGAGAAGAAGAGACACACACCAGTGGACAGTGTTGGATGACTGTCCGCTGTAATACGTAATGTTCGTGGGATGTAGAAGAAAAGAAAGAAAGTATGTATGGTGTCTGCTGTCAGAGAACAAAGAGAAATTCAGAGCGGTTGTGCAGGTTGAGTCAGGATAGCTCCCAGTTTGCCAGAGCCCCTGGGTTGGTCTTATGCTCCTCCTTTTGCAAAACAGTGGCACATAGCTCTTTCCCTCTGAGAAATAAATGACGGAGTCACGAGCATGCCAACAAATACTTAATGCGACATTTTACAAAGAGACAGACAGACAGATTATGAGAGAAAGAGAACAAGAAAGAGGAGCAAAGAGGAAACTGAGGGCGAGGTTTTGAAATCCTGGACGAAGTTGCAACATGGGTTTGGCATGGCTCAAACCGACGCCTGCAGATCTTCACAGCTGAGATGCTGCCTTCATCATAGAAAAGCCTCTCTGACCTCCTCAGGGGAGGCTTTCCTGGAGCAGAGGAGAGGTGTAGGTAGGGTACCCATCAGTTCTCACTCAGGCTGAGCTCCCGATCACTGTTTTGTCTGAGTTCTGGGTGCAGCATTAAGCCCTTCTCCCGGATGTTGTATTTGACGTTTTTGTATTATCACCGTGGCAAGCTAGAGACTGCAGCTGAGATGCAAACTTTGGCGTGCACCAGATGCAGAACTGACTGTAGACAGTCGGCCAGCCTTAAGCAGAAGTCAGTGGCTAGCTGAAAGTACGGCCAAAAGGAAGAAGCAATAATTTAAAGCTTGATCGGTCCTCGGTGTGTTAAATCTCACTCCCATGAGCAAAGCGCAGTGTCTCCAGAATTACTTCTTTCCCATCCTGGCCAGAGAAACGTTTTCCCATGTGGACTCCCAGAAAATAATGAGAAGCTTCTTTTGTGTCTTGGTGGGAGATGGAGAGGTTGGGATGCCAAACACCTCAGCACTCTTAATTCAGAGCATTTGTAGATACTGGGCTTTGGCTGCTGGAGGCTTTGCAAGAGGGATTGAGGACTGAATATGTAGATACAGAGCTACAGGAGCAAGCACTAAGACAGCTCTAACACCCCTGCCAGGGGTTCTTGTACTATCTTAAGTACTTGGTTGTTGTTGTTTTTTTTTTTTACTAATGAAGGCAGTTTAGTTAAACGAACCTGACTTGTTCAGCCCCCATTCACGTTCACCTTGTCAGGATCAGAAAGCACCAGCAATTGCAGCGCAGCTCTGAGGTCTGTTTTGTTGTGGACACCACCTGAGTGCGAGGAATGAAATTGAAGTGAATAAACAGCCTCATACCATAAGGTCTTTTTTGGCTTTCCATCAGAGAAGGCAGAAACTTCCAAGGAATTTGGGAACCCGGGATTTCAAGTATTAACTGCACCTGTTTGTAAGTGAGAAACGTGCACCGTTCCACAAGGAGCTGATATCAAAAGACCTGTGGGAGGCAAGTAGACAGGGAGGTTATTTCAGGGTCAGGTAAAGACCAAAACAAAGAGAGGCTGACTTTTTTGTTTTATTTTTTTATATTATTACAGCAAGATTTTTTTAAAGTAGAGGGTGGGAGATGGATGTTTAAAGAGAGTGGTCAGAAGTCTGTCTTAATTCACAGGAAATCACTTTCTAAGGAGAAAAATGAAAACTTTTTTATTCCTTCCCTTTTGAATCAAGAAACCTGAACTGGAAAAAAATAATAATAATAGAGATCCTTGAGCCAGTTAAACATGCAAATAGAATTTGTTTTATTTCAAATTCGTGAGTGTATCAGGGTAGCCAAAGGGCCTGGGCCAAAGCCGTTGCTGGGGGAGCTCCAGCGAAGTGAACGGAGCTGGAGCCAAGCTGATCCTCGGAGCGGTGCCACGGAGCTGCCGAGGCAGGGCTTTGCAGTCAGCAGTCCAGCCGTGGATCTGAATTAACGGATTTTGAGGCCAAACGACAGCTGTCTGTCCTTTGAGTTACCCCTGAGATGGATTTGGCCCCTGCAAATTCTCGTTGCCTCTACTTGAAGGTGGGAATTTCTCCCTGAGTGTCACTGAGCATTTCTCTGCTGAAGAAAGGGGATTTACGAAGTCTCCTCAGCACCTTGCTGGTGCTGCTGGGCACCTTGACCTCCTGAGACACTTTTGTTTTCGTGAGCCACAATAATTTTATTCTCAAATGAGGTCACCTGTAAAATCCTTAGAGGGTCCATCACCCTCTTTTCTCTCTCCAGGACCATCTTTACCCTTTTTAGGAAAGAGCAAGATACCCCGAGGCTGAAAACCTTTAAACAAAAGCAAAACTGGGCACATTTGGTGTAGAGCTGATGCAAAAACAAAGTTTTATGTTGAGTGTTAATGACATGCACAGCTACAAACAAGGCGCTGGTGCGCTGCCCGTGGTGCACAAAGCCACCCAGCCTGCCGGTACCATTTGATGCACGGGATAAAGGCTCCAACTGTCCTCTCAGGCTGGTTTCACAATAGCGCAACTCCGCTTCCTCCGTGATGGTTGCTCCTGATTTAACAGAGCACAATAGAAATGTAGCTGTGGTCTAAAGAAACCGCTTTGAGAGCCTGCCGCGCTTGCAGAGAGAATGGCAGCCTTTCTTCAGCTGTCTGGAGGGATATACTTCTCTGCTAAGCTCTCCGGAGCGATTTGGGAAGCCCCTCCAGGCAGCTTACCATAACTTTTCAGCTCTATAGGGCCATTCCTATGGGTGAAATGCTTCTGAAGTGCCCACGGCCTCGGGAAGCGATTGTGTTAAGTCTGACCCTTCCTCTGATCTTGTCTCTCCTCTGGCAGGTGTCCACGTCCTGAGCTGCAGGAACAATCCCCTGATTATCCCCGTCATCCATGACCTCAGTCACCCTTTTTATCACACCCAGGCTGTCCTCATTAGCTTCAGCTCCCAGTTTGTGGCCATCTCCGGGGTGGCCCTGCGTTCCTTCCACAACTTCGACCCCATCACCATCAGCAGCTGCCAGCGAGGACAGACCTACAGCCCGGCGGAGCAGAGGTGAGCCTGTCAGCCTGCTTCCTTCTGCCTCGCCACCCACCGCCCCCACACCACCCGCCTGCGCCGGGGCTGCAGGGGAGGCAGGAGGGGCACCGCGGCTGAACCCTGCTGACCCCTTTGTGTTGCCAGTTTAAAAAAAAAAAAAAAAACGGCAGTGTTCTCATTGATCAGGATGGATGGGACATTTAACCCGCATGGGATACTGCTAGTGAATTATTTCCTCTTCCTTTCTCCTCCCTCCTTTATCCTAAGCTTGGAATTGGGGCCAGTTAACTCTCTGTGCGTTCCCCCGTGCGGCAGCGTTTCAGTCGCTCACACGTCGGCCTGGATCTAAACAGCTTTGTGCTGCTGAAGTGCTATGGGGACCTCCCACAGAAGCGTTTGTGGGGAGACAAAGTGATGCTTGTGCCCCAATGGGGCCCCAATGGGGTCCTGCAAGGTGCTCAGCCCCGCGCTGTGGGCGCCTGGCCGCCAGCGCTCGTGGTGCTTTTACGGCTGGGGAAGGGCCCTCAGCACCTCTCTGGATCCGGCCCCCATTCTGAAAAGCTCTGTGGGACCCCCCAGGATGAAAGGTTTATGGCTACCGTTTTATTCTTGTTGTTATTACAGACACATCAATAGATCACCACCAACCCCTCTCAGTCTCTGCTTTACAGCATCCCACAGAGATTGTGACCTTTCGTGGCCTCTGGTGCAGCAGCTTCATGGATCCTTTCAGCAAGGCAGTGAAAAGAAGAGGGGAGAATTTAGCAAAACCCCTGAAAGAATCATCTATTTTTCCGCTGTGAATTCAAAGTTGTGAGCAGTCGTCATACCATAGCAGCAGCAATAGTAAAAACAAGTTGCATATCCCAGCAAAGCTCTGCTCAGCCTCCTAAGCAGGCTGTCAGTTTTTTTGATAATGTTCTGGCATGTTTTTAGGACCTGCTTTTATTCCAGGAAAGGGGGGGAGGGTGAGAAGGGGGAGAGGGAAGGGAAAATAATAAAAAAAAAAAAAGGAGTATATCTATAGCTAAATCAATCCAGTCCGTGTGTTCTGACCTAGATTCAAGGAGTCTGATCGTTCTGTGCAATAGGTTGTATAAATTCAGAGGCCCAAAGACAGCAGGATCAAGTTTCAGATGAGAAGTCTAGTTGTGCAAGTTTGGCCAAATCCCAGTGCAGGAGCGAGACAGAAACAGAGCAAGAAAGACCCACTGGAAGGAGATGGTGAGAAGCAACAGGGAGCTCGAGAGGGCTCCGACACAGGACCACATTCCTCCCTCTCAAGTTTTCAGTAGGAATTGAACCATTTGTTCACTTATGAAATTAGAAGTGCTCTGTGTTTAGAAAGTTATTTCCTTAATAAAAAATGTGTTCCCCTTAGGCAAAGCTTCAGAAAGCCTCTGCAGCACAGCAAACCAACCTTTAGCAATCTGAAGAATCACCCGCCATTTGCTTCTTTTTTTTTTTCTTTTGGTAGTGTTTTGTTTTCATGATACACTGAATCATCTCAGCCTCTTGCTCTCTGAAACTTGAGTCAGAGCCTCGCTCGTTCAGAGTAACATTTTAGGTCTTGCAGGTTGCAATGCTGGATTGAACATAGAGCTTCCTGTGTTAGTCAAGGAACTAGAGACTGAAATAAAGCCCTGATCCAAAGCCAGTTGAAATCAGTGGGATTTTTTCCATCAACTACAGTGCTATAGGGAGGAAAATTTCCAACTGGCCTTGTGGTGGGATCATTTTGGGTGACCACATGTGCTGTCTTCTTCTATAAAAGCAGCTCGAAGGGTATGCAAGGCGCAGAGAAGGTTGTGTGTTAGGCTGTGCAACCAGGAAACAGGCGGATGCCAAGTCCCTTTGCTGTCACCTGCCTTCTTTTTCCTTCATAATTTTATCCAGGTAGAACACAGAGAGAGGGATTTTTTGCATTTACCCTTACCAGGTCAGAAGCTGGGTATGGACTTCCTGCTCCCTGGGGACATCAGGGCTCCCCACTGTCCCCAGCCAGGTCCAGCTGGGTCCTCTCCTGCCTCCCATGGTTGTGTTCTGCCCACCAGGCACACTCTCAGCACCAGTCCCACACTGCCCGTCCCTCCCTACTCCCTTTTTCATGCTGGTTGTGTTTGTTTAATATGATTTCTTTTTTATTCATTTAATTTTTAAAGGAACTTTCCTTCCTATGTATAAGCATCAACTTCACCGCTTTCATTTTCCTTAGGTAAACATGGATATTTTTGCCTGCTTTTTGGCTTCTCTCTGTAAGAGATATTATTTCTCTCTCTTCAAGGAGAATTATTTTGGTTGGAGAGGATTTACAGCCAGATACAGGCACTTCTAGGCAAGGGTGCAGATTTTAAATATGTGAGGGAAAAGAAATATGTCAGTCCTTAAATGTTAGCACAGTTTTTATTTTGAGGGTGAATGGATCACTTCCATGAGTTAGGGACAACTTAATAACTGAAAATAAAACATGTACTCATTCTTCTTTCTTAAAATATATATTACAGTTAATATTTTAAAAGAGAAAAAGGAGCTTGAATGTGAAAATCCCATTCAGTTTTATAGGCAGTTGTCCTCAGTCATCGTTCGCTCTTTTGAAAATCCATTCCATCCTTCTGAAGAGGTTTATAGAGTTTAAAAAAATACTCTGTATTTTCCAGTTGTATTTTTCCAGTTGTTGTTTTTTTCTGCTGCAGCTGACAACAAGTTCTTTTTGTTTCAGCAAAAGTTTACCTAACTGCTGGAGATGTGCTATAAAAATGACACACTTTTATTTTCACATTGCAGTCCTTCGACCACATATAGTGGCCCAGTTAGTTCTTCTCTTGCACTAGTTTCACACTTTTACTATTTTTTATTTAGCTTGTGGAGTGGATAGTGAAACTGGGTGTGCAGAAGCAGAGGTATAATTTCCCACCCCATGGTCACTTGAGCACCATGAAAACCTGTTGCACTGGGGCTGCCTTTGACAGTTGTTCCTCAGAAATCAGGAAACATGCGCTCAGGGTGCCCTATCGCTGGCAAGGCAGTCCTTGTCAAGGGCTGCTGCTCCTGGGTGGCATTTCACAGGACTGGACCCCTCCTCCAAGCCTCCTGGTGCCGACTACCCTGGTTCAGCTGCCAGAATTGTCGACTTCATGAGTTTCTGGCTTTCTAATCCTCCATTAGCTCCGTGTCTGTAAGGTAAGCCTCCTTTCCCTAGGAGTGGGGTCTATCTGCCTGCATCTCTCCAGCGTGCACACCCCACGTTGTGCAGCTCCTTGTGCTTTCTAGTTAGTGGCAGTGAGAAGCTTTTCCTTTTCTTTGTTCTGTTAAATCTCGGCACAAACCCACTGTTACGGCTGAGAAAAGGCTTCTGCAGGAGAGGTTTTGGCTTCGCCTCTCTATAGCACAGCGTAAGTGGGTCTGTCTGGGGGTTTCACAGCTGCAGGGGGCCAGCACTGCACCAGCCCCAGCCCCACGCCATCGCCAGCCCTTGCTCCAGCCTCTGAGTTTTCGCCCTTTGCCACCCCAAACAAGCCCCAGGGAGAGGGAGACCACTCCAGCCTCTTCTCTTTGTCTTCTTGTCTCCTGCTGTCAGCTTCTCCAGCAAGAAATGATGAAGATAAATCTTCAGCAGTGCAGCAAATGCAACCACCCTTTATAAGTCGGGTTATTTTTTTTCCTCTTTATACTGAAAAAACGTGTCTCCTCATCTCTTTTTTTGTTAGTTAATGCAGCTTTCTCTTTACCGATTTGGCTGCCTTTCCCCTGCCCTGCGTTCTGTCATTAAGCACAATCTCTGTCAGCCTGCTTCTGGTGAAATTAATGAATTTCTCACAGAACTGTTAATCATAGAAGCTTTGGTCCGTGACATGTGTTATAATTCAATGGGTTTTTAACCTTCGCCCCATTTTGGTAATTGGCAAACGGCATCATTTGGCTTTTATTAAAGTGGAACGCGATGCCATTTCTTTGTTTGCCGCCACGCTCTCTGGAAGGGGGACCGGCACCCGGCCCTGCCTCCACATTGGGAGCCTGTGTGGGGCTCTGAGGCCTTGCTGGCTCCTCTGGGCCTGTGGTTGGGATGGCTCCTGCAGTGGGGTACACTGGGAGCCCCCAGGGCCAAGGGCAGAGCCAGTGCCCCCAGGAGCACTGCCCCTGCCTCTCCTTCCCCACAGCTCACCTGGGGTTGGACCAGGTGTTTTCTGTAAATCTCAAGGGTTGCGTGCACTCCTGACCCTCTCGGTTTGGATTTAGTTTTCTTGGGATCACTCTTGGGGTTGGATTCAATAGTAACTGTGTTGAGGTCGCTGAGGGGACCATAATGGTGGTGAGCCCACTATTTTGGTCACCCTTGTGAACCAGATTTGAAGGCAAGCATGCAAAAAGAAAGGGCCTGATCCTTCTTCCAGTGGCATGGTCAACATGGCTTCACCAGTCCCCACCTTGCTCCAAGGATTTGTGTAGATTTCTCTTGAGTTTTCATGTTAGTGCAAGAAGACCAATTTATTTCATCTGAAATCCAAAGAAGACAAGTTCATTGCCAAGTTTGCAGTTTATACCTTTTTTACTTCTGAAGCTATGAGAAGTAATGTGACTGGCAGCCTTTGCTTTTCCAAATGGTACATCTGTGTCTGGATTAGAGAGAGAGAACCTGCTCTTGTCTTTACAGACCTCCCTACAGACAGAGAGGATAAGCCCACGCTAAGGATACATCTGTTAGAAACACCATCAGAAGGCCACATGTGCATGCAGTTGTTTGTATGGTAACGTAGAATAAAACCTAAGGATGCTTCAGATCTGCAGCCTGGGCTGGCCTAAACAGAGGAAAAGGAAGTTTTTCTGATATAAACTAGGCAATGGTTGGAGTCATCTCATCCACAAGTATATGCTGTATGTTTTTATGCTCACCTATGCATATATATGTGTCAGGGCGGTCGCTAAGGAAACAAATAATTAGGGCACTGTGTTAAGATGAGTTCTTGGAAAAGTGCTTGACCCCAGGGTTAAGAAAAAAAATGTTTGGCTGCTGTAAGCTTTTCGAAGGAGGAAGTGCTGGTTTGTTTTTATGTGAGGAAGGAAGAGTTCCACTTAATTGTTACAATTTTCTATAAACATGTTAAAATACAAATGTTTCTAGGATTGTGTCACCAAGACCCCAATTTAGCAAAGCCCTTAGCTATTTGCTTACATCCCCCTGTAGTCAAATCTATCAGTGGGACTTAACCGTGCTTTTGAAGTTAAGCACATATTTAAGTGCCTTGCTGAACTGGGGCCAATATTGGCACAGAGAAATAAAGATTTAGAGGCTAATGACTGAGCTCATTTAGATTAGGGATGGGCAGAATGGATTTGAATAAAGTAAGAACTGGCTCAGAACTTCAGTCTACATGTGAAACTAACTCTGCTCAGGGCTTTTTGCATCATTGAAATGGTCTGCCTTGATCTATGTTTTTAACACAGTGCAGGCAGTGGAAAGTGTGCAAGAAATTCTCTGTTTCTTGCACTCAGCTTGGTGCAAAAATGTTGTTTTAGGGAATCATACATTACTAGAGCAAGAAGAGGAACAGGTGAATCATGAAGTGGATCTAGTAAAATAAGCAATGTTGGAGAATATCCCAGGCACCAACACTTGATTCTTATCTATCCCAACTAATGATACACGCACTTGCCTAGCTTTTATCCAGACCAGCTCATAATCTTGCAAGCAATTACCAGGTGCGTTTGGGGAGTCAGGAAGACTTCAACTAGGCAGTTTTGATGAAGTCACACAATTTTGATTGAAAGAAAAGAGGGATATGCTGTCCCATGCCAGGAAGCAACATAAGTTATAGAAGTGATTTCATTCTCAGATACTCCATATTGTTTCTGTCCCAAGGAATGCATAGTTTCTGGAACATGTGATGATTAACCACTGTTAAGTGGCAGTACCCATGCAAGAGCTTCTGTAACCCACAGTTCTGTAATATGGATGTGATGGGTTCTTTGTCTAAATTTCCTACTTGGAGATATTCATTTCTCCTTAATTCTGCATTTGCAGAACTCAATTCAGGATCGTGACTTCAAAATTCATTGGGATTTATGGCTGACAGTAGCTGATACCAAATTGGAACCAGTAGCTAGAGAACCAGAAATATTTAAATTGGAAACATTTGGTGGCAGTGGTTGTTTTTTTACAAAAAGTGAATGGTTGTATTGTTTGTCACTGAAGTCATTCATATAGAGTTACAGACAGAGAGAGCTGCCCAGATGATCTGCTAACCGAGGCATAATCTGGAGCCTGGAGGGGGTGGCTAAAAATGTTCCCTGGCCATTTAAGAAGACCACAAGGGGACTTGTAAACAGAAAGAAGAACATCACAATAAGTGTTTCTTAATGCCTTTGTCTGTGGCGTTTCAGTTGTGTAGGACTTTTAAGCCCAGGCTTGTTCATCTGGTGTCCTGATCTGAACTCCAGAAACCGGATTCTTTCTCTCCTTTACGTTGATGGAAATGAAAGGCAATGCCATTTATTGCCGTGATGTTGCTCCAGATTTCCCTTTGTGCAAATTGCGCAGGTTTTCCTAGGCTCATCCTTCCCTCTGAAGCCATTCAAGGCTGAATTCAGTGCTACTTCAATGTGTTGCACGCTGGTTCATGTAAGATATTAAATGAAATAGATCTTCTATTATTTAATTTTTCCATGTTTTGCGCAAAAAAAGTTTTCAGATTTTTCATGTTTTGCAATGGCAGTCAAGGTTCACAATATGTGCTTCTGAGAATGGCTTGGCAATGGTGTTCATTTTTTTCCTCAATGAGTCAACTTCCTTGTCTCTGGAGTGCTGGCATGGAAGGAACTCATATGGCAGCTTCACTGTCTGAAAAACGGAGGGGAATGAAATAGTGCTGAGCCGTCATGTGCAGATGGAATTGGGACATGTAGTGAGGATTCAACGTGGCATCATTCATTGTTTCTGCTCGCCCTCAATATCTTTCTGCAAGAGGAAACCACCTGGGCACTAGGATATACCCTCCACTTGTTCTTCCCCTGCCTTGTTGATGGGCCTATTGATCAGTGAAAAGGGAAATCAATGGCAGTTTAAATGTGTAGGTCAGGCTGTGAGTTGCAGGGACTGGAAAACATGCATGAAACCCTTCATGGGGGGGATTCTACTGTAGGCAGGATAAGCATACTCTGTGATGAGCATCCACTTTTCAGGTTGTACTGCTGGTAGACAGTGCGCTACTTGTATACAATGACACTGAGTTGGCCAATGTAGAGGCAGAATTCTTCTTCCTCGGTCCCATCAGCAGCAATATTTTGTGCAAGATGAGAAAATAAGGATCTGTTTGAATGTGGAAGTTATTTATAGCCCATTGAACTCTGGGGAAGGGCTGCCACTGAACAAGCAACCTTAAATTACAAGCAGTGGGCACTTCCCTTAGAGTGCTAGTCTGGGACAGAAATGAGTTGTAGAAGGACATAATACTGTCGTTTAATCTGATATACAGCCAGGCAGAGACATGTGCAGATGTGCTTCTCGATCAGTAACATGGGAATAACAACACCAGCCCAGGTGTCTCACAAGGGTGTCATGAAAATTAATTAGATAATGTCTGCACAGTGCTTTGAACACAGCAAAACATCAGGTACATGCTAAGTCCTGTGCTTAGTTAAGGTGGACGGGTTTTTGGTGGCTTTAACCCTTTTTATTTCTAGGAGATGGGAATATCTTACTTGAAATCCATTTCAAAATATGTTTATTGATGCATTGCTTTCTCTTCCTTCTATAACTTTTGGTGTTTCAGGTTATTCCCTACCCACACTGATGGTGAATTAAATCAAGGTTGACCCTCTTCCGAATTTAACTGTATTTAATTTAAATTTAGTTTTCCTTTCAGCAGAGGCATATCACTTTGTAGGAATCTTTAGCCCCAGAAACTTTGCCTCTAATCCAGCAAAACATCTTTGCACATGCTGTAAGACTCTCAGCGTTTTCATTGCCCTTTAGCTAGGGGACTGTCCCCACACTCACATTTGACCATGTGCTATAATGTTTGACTCTGGTCATCAGAAGCAGTGAAAGACTTTGTGTCTACTAGACATCTCTGTGTCTACAAAAATAAAACCAAAACCTCTTTTTACAAGTTATGCTAAATGTTAGAATAATTCACTGTAGGGAGAGCAGTGAGTTTCTATCCAGGGAAACATTTTATGGATGGCAGGACAGCAGCCGGGGAGATCTGAAATGACAGCATGCTGCTGAGCTTGATAAGAGCTTATCAACACAGCTACACAACTGATGTTTGGTGTTCCTCGTGAAGTGGAATAAAATGAATGTGTTGATTGCTATCGAATTTCTCAAAGATAAGAGAAACCCGTCCTCACACGTACACACATGCACACACACTTATCACTAGCAATATCAGGCACTCCTGAATTCAGCAGAGGTTTTAAATTGGATGGGGCATAAGGACTGCTCTGGGAGGAAGATTGCTCTCATGGGATGGACACATGCATGTTGGTACAGGAGTAGGAGGGCCACAGTGCTGTTGTTCGTGTTGTTTCTCCCTGTGAATATTGCAGAACAGAAAGTAATTCTGCAGACTTGGCAGGCTCTTCCCTTTTGCCACAAGACCCGTAATTTGCTTTCATTGTCATCACCGTTACCACTGTCCCAGTTCTTCCCAAGACATAGCTAAAGGGTGTGCTTGTTGGTGACGAGCACTTGGCTGACCCGCAGTCGGCGTGCGATCCCTTTACCTGCTGCCTGGCAAGTGACGGCTTTGTCAGTCAGACCAGCTCTCTTTCTCAATGAATTACAGGAACTGAATTCAAATGCCACTTCTTGTCTCTCATCCAGCTGTGTCCACTACTCCTGCGAAGCCACCGACTGCCAGAAGCTGGAGATAGAGAACGCGCTGCTGAACTGCACCGGTGGCGGGTGGTACGATGGTGCCCAGTGCAACGTGAGCTGCAAGACGGGCTACATTTTGCAAGTCCAGCGGGACGATGATCTCAGCAAGAGCCAGGTTTGTCCTGCTGGTTTTGCATGACCCACAAAAGAGGGATGAGCAAATGGGGGTGGAGAACTGGAGAAATAACCCAGCCTAGAGCCCAAAATCTCAGCTCAGCCTTGGGACAGGACCTTATCCAAATATTTCATTTCAGAATAGGAGCCGTCTGACTATGCAACGAGGTACTGATAGTCAGAAAATCTTACAGTGTTGCCCAAACCTAAAGATTTTCAACCCAAAATGTTTAAATGTGTGTTTAGGCCTTCTCCTAGCTCACTGGCTCTACCCAGCCAAACAGGGTTTCTTGGGTTGTTTTTTTGGAGATGTGGTGTTTGTTTTTTACACAACCAGTTTCTGGGCAAAGTTCCTCATGTTTATTCCTAGTGTTTGGGCTAATGATATCTTAACTCCTTTGCAGCACTGCAGTCCATCTGCTTCCAGCCATACTCTGACACTGCAGAAATGCATGATATCCCCAGGGGGAGAAGAGTCTAAACTTTTTTTCTACCAACCAAAGCATCAAAAACTCACTCAGTGACTTGGGTTGTGTTACCTGTCTTACCTACCCTATGCAATAATAATCCAGTCCCACTAATGCAGCCTGTCCTGTTGCAGAGAGTGGGACATGCAGGAGAACTACAAATTTCCTTAAACATTGAGAAAATGTGTGTCCTTTGCCCTCGGAGAGGTGGACAGAGAGTGCACATAGCATGGTCCAGCCTCAGCGAGCTGCTTGGAGGGAAGTGCACGGGATATGGGGGTGTGCTGAAGGCACCCCGGTTTGTACTTTCTGCTCTAGCAGTGCTGGCTCGTGTCATGACAGGGTGGTGGTGGCCTCCACCGGCACCTTTCTGCCTGTTTTCGGGGCAGCGTGCACATCTGGGGCTGGGGGCAGGCAGGCACTCTCAGCAGCCTGTCTGTATTTGTGAAATATTGTGTTCTTCATGAGCTCGCAGAGGGGGGAGACAGAGAGGAGGGGAATGAGTCAGCCCTTTCAACTCAATTACAAAACAAATACAGGACCCCGCGAGCTGGGCCTCTTCCATCCTAATTGGCATCAGCACCAGAACCCCAGCTCCAGCTGAGCATTTTTACAGAACAGAAAACAAGTTCTCAAACGAGCCTGAATGGCTGAACCAGGAAATAGTTGGAAGGGAGCTGTACATTGAGCACACAGGAATCCAAACCCAAATAAAACAGCCTAAACATGTTTCACCAGCGCTCTGTTATTTAAACGCAAAAAGTACCTTTGGGGGAAGCTCAGCCAACTGTATTTGGTTTTGCTCAGAGAAGTTGGGTTTCAGAGCCTTGATCAGATTCATATGACAGGAGTGGAGGATTTTAGCACCCCCAGCTAATGTGATTCACTGCCTATTACAGCATGCTTCCTCTCATCCTCATCTACTATTGCACTTCTTGTCAACTTTTTTTTTTTTTTTTTCTCCCAATAAAAACTGTGAGGCCTATGGATTTGTTTGCTCTGTGCTGTGCAGGGAAGGAGCGAAGTATCTTAAAAATATCCATGGGCAGCAGAGCACTTCAAACACGCACTGTAGGAGTTTATGCATGTGCTTCAGAGATTTGTTGAATAGGAAAGGACAGTTTCTTTCAATATCATCCAGTTTAATTTCTTTGTGTCAGGTGCTTTTAGCCAGAACCTGTGGAACATGCATGCAGGAAATGAATTATCTGAGCAAGTCTGGAATCCATGGTTTGGATTCCTTGTATTGCATAGTACTGAGTTACATTGTGCTCCTTCCACAAATGCTTCCCAGCTTCAGGTCTTCTGAACAGAAGCGTTTGGAGATGAGCTAGGACATGTAGATTTTTATCTGTGGTCGGAGGGACTTCATTCTGTGATTGAGGAGCTTTGCACAAAGCTGTTGGTTGTTTCACTGCTGTCATTCTGGTGGATATTTGTCTTGATTGACTGATTTGAGGGACTAGAGCTACTTTTTTTCACACTTAACTTACAGTGCAGAGGCCTGCACGAGGAGGATGAAGGAAAGTGGCTTTGCACATGCTGATGTTTCACACTCTTGGGTAGGAAGGGGACTGAAGAGAGGACCAAGGTCTCAAAGAGCAGGCTGAACATCAGTGGCCCATGACCACTACATGTTGGTGAGGATGACTTACACACCAGTGAATATGCGCTGGTTTAGCATCTGAACCACATTTGTCTTTTGTGTTTCACTGGAAGGCAGAGAAAAAAGATGAACAGAGAATTAAAAGCAAACTTTTCAAAAGCACCTCAGAGATGTAGGGGCACAAGTCACATTTCAAATCAGTCTTTTACATCTAAGGTTTTTTTGAAAATCATCCTGACAGTTCCTGCACTTTTTGGCCTCTGTCTCTTCTTGAAGCCACCATTTTAATAAGTCTTAGGTCAAAAACTTCATTCATCATTGCTCTCTGAGAAGTTCCTGTTCCAAATCCTGTTAAACTCCATAAAATCACCAAACCCTAAAAACATCAGCACCATGTGCAGGAGAAGCTGTTTGCTCTTTTTTTCTTTGGAAAAAAAAAAAAAAAAAAGAAAAAAAAAGAAAAGCAGAGCTGTTTACTGTCTCTTGGGCTCTCTCTCATCATCATTTAGGGACTTAAGCAACAAAAAAAAATGGGCTTGCATATTGATGGGGCCAAAGCCATCATGTATCTTTTTCACAAAGAAGATCTCGGGATGTTTTCATTTTCTCCCAATGTCCTCCCACCCCCCTGACAACTCCATTGCTCTTTCTTCTTTTCTCCCCCATTCCCTCTTTGTCTTTCATTGCCTTCCTCCCCCTTGTCCTTCACTGAAAGCCCTGCTCATTCAGTTACTTGTTGTCATCTCTCCTTGAAGCTACCACCACTGCTGCTCTGGTCAAGAGGTGTTATTTAAAACCCAGCAGCTCCCTAATGTTGTGCAAAGGCATCATCAATCATGCCAGGAAAAGAAAGCACGGCTCATGTGGGTTCAATTAGAGGCACAGTAGTGGGCAGAAGTGGAAGAATACTTAGAGGGGAGGGCACAGCTGTTCATTTTTAAGGAGAGGAAACTTCACACGTGAAGCATCGCTTGAAGAAGGAGCCGACTGGGATCTTGGGCAGCAGGAAGGAGACATGAATTCTCCCAAGCTGTTAAAAGTCCCAAGAAACAAATCTTTCTGACACTAGATTTGTTAAAGTTTGCATCCTCTTCACTGTATTGCTCACTTTATCTTTTTTTTTTTTTTTTCTCCTTCTCGTCCGCCCTCCCTCCTTGCGTAAGCCTCTTTTGGAAGGCAGGACATGAAGGGAAGCGGTTACTGTGATGCCAGTCAAAGCAGCACAAAGTGCCCAAAGTGACAGCTAATAAACCAGATGAGAAAACCAAGTGCTTCGTGTGGACTCCTGTGAGCTGGGTGACCTTGACAGATCAGACAGGCGAAACAGGCACGTGCCCACTCAGACTTTGGATAGGAGATCTGCAAAGGCAGGCGCAGATGCTGCCACAAAGACCCATGCTAGATCCGAAGGCAGAGCTGCTCAGGCTGAGTTAATTGGAAATACCCCACAGTCTGGTGAGGTGCTGGGTTGAGCCGAGTCCTGCACAGCAGCCTGGGGCCCTGCACCCGGGCACTGCAATGAGCCCACCCTCAGGTGGGACACTGCAAGAAGGAGAAGCTGTAAGGCAGTGTGATCTGCAATAATTTCTGTTGTCCTCTGCACTAAAGGCTTTAGTCCTCTGCATTGTGGGGAAGCCGGCTCTGTTATGTTCCCCTGCAGAAATGCATGCGCTCCTGTTCCTTGAAGTTGTGCTGCTGAGTGATAGACATGTTCTAAAATGTTTCATTATTATGTCTGACCTTGAAAACCTCAGCTTCCATCATACAAGCGTGGAGCAAATTACCGGAAAAAGCTGAGAAGCCAGGGTCTTACCCACACGGACTCTGCGTCTCTGTGGGGGAATGGCCCTGCTGGTGTATCAGGAAGAGGAAAAGCCATGTGGGTCTGGAAGAAGGTGACTCTTCCAGTCTGGTTAGTGGTTTTATTGGGAAAGTACCATGGAGAGGAAAAAAAAAAAAAGCTGAAAATGGAGTGGAGGAGAGTAATTTATTTTTTTTCACATCATGGTCTAGAACAGTGGCAGAAATAAAGTGCAGCGTGGTATAGCTGTAACAAGGGATCCCTTCCAAGGAGGGTGGCCCCAGACACGCTGCATTTCCAGCAGGCTGTCAGCTAACAAAGACCATGCCCTCCCAAGTGTTAGCATGGGCTAAGCATTCTTGCCCATTTTCTGTAAGGTGTGGCTGTCATGCACGGATATTGCTTCTGTTTCAATTTTTGAATTATATTCTGGATTCTGAACTTGAGCTGTTTATTTGGTTTGCTGTAGAGCAGCCTCTGATGTGTAACCCTGTCATTAGGGAAACTCCCTTCTGCACCATACTGTGCTTCAGCAACTGGTATCAGCTAGAAGGAGCAATCATTCATTCCTAAACTAGATCACACCAAGACTAATAAGTGAATTCTTGGAGTTGAAGCTCCTGTGCCCGGAGTGGAGCCAGCATGCAGCAGGATACAATGCAAGACCCACATCTTTTCCTTAGTGTTTGCATAGCCCCTGTCATCAATAGCTTGGTTATGTTTTAACCTCCTGCTGTTGAGGTACCCAGCAGCCACAGTGCTGGAGCTCTGGTCGATGACAGCATCTGCTAAGGGAAATGGAGGCTTTGCTGTATCCTGGAGCAGCCCAGCCTGGAGTGCAAATGTGGTGGTGATGCTGCTATGTGTATGAATTATGAAGACATGGAAATATGCTCTCACCCTTTCTCCTGTGGCCATCAGAATTACACAGTGACTTCCTGAAAGCACAGGCATCTTCAAGCCATCATCTATCTACAGAATACGTATTTTTTAATGGTGCAAATGATCTGATGAACAAAGAATTAGTAGCCAGCGGGGAGCAAAATGGCTGGGAATGAGAATGTGGAGTGTCACTTCACCTGAGCTCTCTGTGAATCCCCAAATGTGCTACTCTAAATTTGTAGAAAAGACACTTTTTCCATCATCAGTACTCCCTGTTTAAATAAACTGCATGGTCTAGAAAAGGGGATTTTGTGCCCACTTGGGAAGTGTCCAGTTTCTCAGCTCTGGGACTGCTTTTTCCATTCTGAATGCAACCATATATCAAAGGGAGACAGGTCTGAACTTCTGTTGAAACCATTAGGGTGTTTTTGCAAAAAGGGAATCCAGGTCCCTTTGATGTGTGCTAGAAAAATTCCCCTTCCTTTTATAAAGCTAGATCAATGGTTGGCGGTGCAAATCTCCTGTGAGCGTACCAGCCCTGAATAAAATATTCCCTGGGGGCAGAGGAGTGCTGCTGTATGACTTGGTCAGATTCCTTGCTGGTATCTTCCCCTTCCACAATATCTTGTGTTTGGGTTTCTCACATTTCTCTTTCTGCTGTCTTTCTTTTTATTCTGGTATGGAGGGAAGAGTCCTGTGTTCAAATTCTTCACCTCTAATCTGTAATCATTTTTCCTTTTTTAATCAGAAGGCGGATGTGTTGTTTATTCTGTTCTCTTTGCCAGCATCTGTTTGTCCTTCAGTCACCCAGTAAATTCTTTGTCTTAGCCTCGGACAGGTGGCTACTTTGCTCCCCACCCTCCTACCCCACTTCTGACTCTTTCTCTCCTCCTAGCATGTCAGGATTTTAGTCTGCAGCACTGTTTGGATTATTCCTCAAATCCATAGAAGTGTAGCTTCTGTGTAGCTATTCCAGTATTAGGGCATTAGGGAAGTCAGAGCACAGGTGCTAATTCTGTATTTGACCTCTCATAAAGAGTTTCTGGACCAAATGCCAGGTGAACGTATGGGCAGGATGCTTGGGAGTCTGTCCACTGAAAAATCCTCCAGGAAAAGGTCTGTCCCTCAAGCGTGCGTGTCCCTGGTGCCAGCACAGCAGGGCCCTGGTTCCCTTTGCGGGCCGAGGCCCAGGCCTCCTCCCAGGGGCCGCTGACACCTCTGGGGAGGGCCTCAGACACGAGTCCCAACCGGGTTCACACCAGTTTGGCTTTCATTTCAAACCCCAGGGTGAATTCAACATCTCAGAAATACACGGGGGCTGCTCGGGGTGACTGTGTCATGCCGAAGGCGGCGAGGACCGGGGACAGCTGTCAGCTCCAAACGGCTCCGGCTCGCACGCGCCTCTCTGGTCACGGGGCAGAGCAGTAGGCTCCGTGGCTTGTCCCAGGAGGCAATGCAGACAAGAGTTCAGATTATTTGTAGTGCTTTTTACATTGAAGCACTCTGATCCTTCACCCTGCTGGTGGCAGAAATGCATACTGGTTCTCTGACACTGTTTCTTGTGTGGCCTCAATGTTTTTAGTAGCTGCTGTCCACATCATGATGGTGGTCATCAGGTTTCAGTTTGCTTGACTTGTGAGACACAAAAATAACGGTTGTTACTAGGTTTAAAGCAGTTTTGATCTCTCCTTTGCTGGCTGTGGTGGCTGTAGCCTTGTGTCTACTTCCAGATGGAGTCCAGCGTCACCATGACTTGCACAGATGGGAAGTGGAACAAGCAAGTGACCTGCGAGCCTGTGGACTGTGGTGTCCCAGACCAGTACCATGTCTACCCAGCCACCTTCAACTGCAGCGAGGGGACCACCTTTGGCAAGAAATGCTCCTTCACTTGCCGACCTCCTGCTCTTCTGAAAGGTATCGGGGGTGTCCGTGCAGCAAGCTGGGGATAGCTGCACAGCTAACAGACTGCTACGAGTAATACGTGTTACTATTGCTGTTGTTTTAGAATTATTCATGATATTTTAACTATGAAGAATTATGAGAGTCTAGGGAAGGTTTATTTATATTAGAAGCTAAGTTCCTTTGCATCTCTCTTATTACCTTCCTCTGACCTTTGCTTGATCACGGCTGGCTAGGCAGGAACGATACTGAATATTACTTCCATACAACCAAAACATGGAAAAGTCATGGGGATAAATCATATTGAACTCTCTCATCCTTTTTTATGCCTTCTCTGTTTTCTGTGCATGTCTCCCTTCCATGCCTCCTCCATGTATTTAGGAAGGTGGGAGAAGACTGGACAATCCCATGTCTCAGTCGCAGTCTCCCATCATTGCTTTTCCTAATCCACCCATCACCTCTCCCCTTTTCCACACTTGTCTTGCTCTACCTCTGACCTTTCTCTTCTCTTCCTGTTTAGGAGTCTCTACAAGTTTTATTTCTTGAAAATAACATACTCTGCTGCATTCTTTCCTTTTCAGCCTCCGTCTTCTTCCCTGCTATTTTTCTGGTAGCATCCCCATCATCTTCTCAGCACCATCCACTCTTTCTCTTACTGTCACATTAGCCTTTTTAATCTAGGTCCTCAGGAAGCACAAAAAGATATCATAGTTAATTTGAAGGAACATTAGAGCCAAATTAATCTGTCACCTCGCACTGGAGTAATCTTAACAGCTGTTGTTGACTCAGGTACAATTGCTGTATAAACTCATTTTCTAAATGTGGTATCACATCTTCTGCTAAAATTCACAGCAAATCTCAGAAGAGCCATGTGAAGTATTCCACATTTCAGTGAAAGGATATGTTGATTTCTTCATATATAATCAAATTGCTCAATTCTTTTAATTCAGACTTGGGAGGTTAACCACAAGTAGCCAGCCCACAGTGAAAGCTAAGGCTGTTCAAAGGGGAGATTTTTATCAAAGAATTCCCTTTTTCTGTTTATACACTCAGAGGGTCATCTTCAACAGGGATGCTGTTTTTCATTGGAAATAGCTGGATTGATATTTATTTATTTATTTATAAGAGGGGAGTGAAAACAATTATCATAGAATCATAGAATGGTCTGGTTTGGAAGAGACCTTAAAGATCATCTAATTACAACCCCCCTGTCATGGACAGGGACACCTTCCACTAGATTAACTGATGCTTATCAATTTGGAGGAATGTAAAATTACCCCCAGAAGATGAATGGCAATTTTCATGCAGAGCATCAGAGGGTAAAACAAGCCATGACCAACAAGAGCTTCAGCTGGTGATGCTGGCAGGGGTAGCTGGAAAGCTTATGACTAGCCCAAAGTAAGGGGGTGCAGCTCATTTGTTTAGCATCACTTCACTTTTGTCCAGACACTCTGTGAGTTGTAAGCTAAAGGCACCATTTGGTGTATGCCATCAGTGATGACTAATAGATATTGCCACTAAACTTCTGGAAAATGGTGTTCGGATGACTCATGCCTAATTCAATCACTGACGTCATGACAGCCACTGTTGGTAATGTCACAGCTTATCACATTGCAGTGGCGGTATGATATCACCACGGCTGGTCTGCAGAGCTGCTGCATGAGTCAGAGCAGAGGAGCATGCTGGTGCTCTAGAAAAAGAGCTCCCTTCTGCACAAAATACCTCTGCAATCATCTGCAACTGGGGAGGGGAGGGAGAAAGCCAGGACTGATTTAAAGAAGCTTCTCTTATCTTTGTGGATAGGGCAGGAGGGCTCCTCTACATACCTTCCTGAGCCCTCCAGAGCCTTTTGTTTTCGTCTTCTTTGAATTCCAGCGTCAGTGTCCCAGCTCTCTTCCTTCTCTCTCAAAGAGCTGGAATTGCTCTGGGGCTAGCAGTTTGTCGGTATTATTTTGGATAACACTGAAGTTGGCTGACTGCTGAAAATATGCCTTGTGGGTTGAGAAGAGTTCCTGCAGCAATGCTCAAGGATTTCAATAGAGTATTAGGGATTTTTGAAGGGTTAGTGGCTCATAGCGGTGTTTTGTTTCTTAGGAAAAGCTTATTCCTTTTTAACATACAGTATAAAATAACAAAGAATAGAAAATACACAGAGAGTAGGCTACTTTTAGCTTACCCTTCTGAAGTCAACTAGGTCATAGCAGAGGCAAATAGATCTATTGTACCTTTTACCTTTGAGGTGCTGGTCAAGAAAGCTTCCTAAGGAAAACGAGTCTCTAATGAGTATTATGAATCATATTTATCACAGTAGTTCCCACGGACTGAGAGTCCCCAGCTGAGAACATCTCCTCATTGTGTTGGAGTAGTGACTCTAATATTAACAGATGCTGCTCCAAAAGGCTCAAAATTGAAGTAAGGAGAGATTCAGGGAAGGGATATAACACAGAAGCAGTATGAAGAATGGAGTGGTACCAAACACTCTGTCTTAACGTGGATATCTCTATGGCTTCAGAGAGGAGGGCGTTGATGTATGAAACAAGCTTTCTTTCAGAGAAGAACAAAATAAGGAACAAATTAAAAACAAAGACAAAACACACACACAAAATGCAAAGCTAGTGAGGTTTCACTTATGCTATAGCATTTCCTGAAATAAACACTGTCTTCCTATTGTCTCCTGAAAAAAAAAAGAAAAAGAAAAGAAATAAAAGAAAAAAAAAAAGAGTCCCTGATGATTTAACACCATCAAACACCATCATCTAGAAAAAGGAAATATACAGGACATACACAGTTAAATTTGTCAAGCCAACTGAGGTGGTTGTCGATACATTATGGGTGTAATGACACTTGTGGAAAAAAAAAAAAACAGCACCACAACAACCAGTCCTGCTGAATGTTATGTTGCTCACTGTCCTTCTCAGGAAACAACAGCAACTTGACCTGCATGGAGGATGGGCTGTGGTCCTTTCCAGAAGCCCTGTGTGAGCTGATGTGTCGAGCACCCTCCATCGTCCCTAATGCAGATCTCCAGACTACTCGTTGCCGGGAAGATAAGCACAAAGTGGGCTCATTTTGCAAGTACAAATGCAAACCAGGTTACCATGTCCCTGGATCCTCCAGAAAAGCAAGGAAGTACGTACAATAGTAATGCCATGCAGTCAGTATGATTCAGAAAGGCATGGGTTAGAAAGATTTTAGGAAAGGGATGGGCTGTTTCTAACAGAGAATACCACTGAATGCTGCCTTCATGCAGATAGCTGTGCATATCAAGGGGACATAGGCACCTAACTCCCTTAGGCTCCTTTGAAAATTGTAGCCAATGTTCAAAAAACAGACCTTACCTTAGAAATAGCCTTTGATATGCAGCCTGGGGAGTCCCCTTTGAAACTCTGCGGGAAGGGGTTAGTGCTGTTATATACTTTTGACTCTGCACAAACCCACTTCAAACCAACCACAGTCCACAAGCCTGGGAAGTGGCATTTTGGGGAGACATGTCCAAGGCCGAAAGAGTTGAGTTTAGGCTGGATAGCTGAATGTTAGCTTTGCAAATAATCGTTATTTTTTCTCAGAGACCTCATGACGCAGATTCACAACTTGTTCCCCAAGTGTTAAAAGCTCAAGCACACCCATCCCCTGCAACCTGCTAGCAGAGCTCAGAGGCTCTTGGCTGACTCAGCCACTCACTAAATGGTCTTTTTTTTTTTCCGCACGGAAAGGCGAGCCTTTAAGATCCAGTGCACACAAGACGGCACGTGGCTGCCAGGCGCTTGCGTGCCCGTTACCTGCGACCCTCCACCATCCAAGTTTCACGGGCTCTACCAGTGTTCCAATGGGTTCCAGTTCAACAGCGAGTGCAGGATCAAGTGTGAAGATGATGACAATCAGTCGGTGAGTCTCTTATCCAGACCATCTCAGCCCATAAAGGTGTGTTTTTATCTTATGTTCCCTAAGGACTTTGATCTTGGAGGGACCAAATGCCATAACTCCCTTGAGCTCTTGTGAGACCAGAAACAGAGAGATGAAGGGAAATACGTAATTAAAGTAGAAAAAGAGAGAGGCTTCGAAGAGCCTGGAAATATCATTTTTATGACTATAGTAGTGGTATTAACTATTACCCATAGAGGACTAGCAATGAGTGACATTGTTTTCTAGACAAGTAAGTAGCTGAAAAATCTGTGTCAGTGGCTCTCTGATCTAGGTAGGCATTATCAAATATGGTTTCTGGTCTTATATTAGTACAGGAGGAAATAAAGAGTAATGAATGAAAGAAGGATATGAGTTACATCCACTCATCCTGTTTGCTCTTTCTGTTTTACCTTGCTTTTCTCTCCATTTCTTTTTCCCTTTATCACCATGTGTATGCCATAGATCATTTATAGGGATTATCACTATTCAAGTGAACTGTCTGTAAACTTCCATGGTTTTTGTGGCTGCAAAGGTGTGACAAGGCATCAGAGGTCAGATCCTTATCCAGCATAAATCAGCGTGTTGCCTTTGACTTCATAGGAGCTGTGTTCACTGATACGAGAAGGTCTGGTCTTTAATATCATGTTTGAAATGTTTAGTTTACCTCACCAGAGGTAATTATAGTTTGTGAGATGAGTAACTTCTCCCAGAAGTGCTACTGCTTAATACATTTGGGAAGAGAAAGTGGGGATGTGGAAGCTGCTGTTACTATACACACTGCAGAGAACAGAGCACTCTGTCAAAGGTCTTTTAATATTAGTCCTATTTCTGAGAACATCTGAAAAAGGGATCAGACCTTCCATAGTGCCAGTGATCGGAAAAACACCTCTGATACCTGCTCCAAATGTTAAAATCCACAACTACAGAAGAAACAGCGCTGAGGCTTCTGAGACGGGAAAACTGCACTTGCTGCCCCTGTTCCCTGCAAAATTGTCCTGCCCACTTCATGGAGATGGGAGGTAGAGCCTGGGGTTTTGTATCAGAGCACCTGAAGATCTGTTTTTATAAGTCTTATGAGAAGTTTCAAGACTTGTGAAATGCACACATGGGTGCAGTTTGGGTGGGAAGCTCAGGGATATGGCATCTGTGGCTTTGTGCACTTGGTCAAACCATCAGTGCCAGTGCAGGGAAACCAGGGCCATGAGGGACAACAGGTATGAGAGCTTTATGTTTGCTTTTAAAGGAGCTGGATGTGAAGAGAGGCAGGCTGTGGAATCAGGGTTACAGCAACAATTAAGTGAGCTGTGGAAAGTGAGAGATACAGCTACGTCTCTATTCTTTGAAGGGAAGATTGTAGTGAGTTTTCAGCTGTTAAAGCACCTTGAGCAAAGAAGCAGGTAACATCCTGAGAAGGGGATTTGCAGAGAAAGGTATTTCCAGATATCCCAGAAAATAGACAGAAAAAGAGGAAGAACTCCTGGCACAAGGCAAAACCACTTGAGAGGTGTTAATTATTTAAGGATTAAACCCCACTAAGTCTCTCTCAGCTATATAAGGTGATAATGCACGTTGCATCCAAGCAAGAAACCCAGCAGGGATTTTCACAAGAGATTTTGCAGGTCAGGGAATGATGGACAGGATGTTACTATAGCAATGGATATCCTGGGATCTCTGAGTACATTGCAGAAACTACACAGTAGTACCCTCAAACACAGCCAACTCTGGCAACATAAATCAGGTTTCATGGCTCACCTTTAGAACACTGGCATGCAAATTGCAATGGAAGTGCACCACACTTGCTAAAACAGCAAATTGTGCTCAATTATCACTTAGCAATCTCTTCCTGAATTTGTCACCATGCTGAAAGATCATTACTCAGCTCTGCATATGGCATCTCTTAATCACCAGGAGCATAATGGTCATTTAAGCAGGTGCCTCCCCCAGCACCCAGAGCAAGGGCCTTCCATTTCTGAATATTGCGCACAAATCGTGTAAACGGTCAGATCTAAATTAATCAGTTTCTGCAAAACTGGCCCTTAGCTGAGTCACCAAACTGGATCACACCCTGAGTCCATCTGGTCCATTATCCTTTCATATGATTTTCTTATTACTCCTGGCAATGGCCAGATGTCTAGAGAAGGGGATGCAGGTCCCACACAGTATGCCAATAAGACCACTTTGTATCTCACTAAATATTATGTTCATCAACAAAGCTGAGCAAAAACAGGCATTAAGATATCAAATATAACACTAACACCAAAGGCTGTGCAATTGTGCACACCTGCACCGGGGACTTGTGCAGATCCCTCTGCAACAAGGGGTGTGGGACCTAGGGAAGAGCTCCCAAGACTCAAGCATCCCTGCTGGGATTGGGACCCCAGCATAGAGAGCACACTGAAATATCCCCAAAGATATCTAGCACAGTCTCCTAGAATAGGGTGGGTAGGTTGCAGGCAACATGCCCGGTATGTGTAATGGGCAAGGAGAAGCAGAGATCCTGTCTGGTTCTCCCACTGAGCAGGGTCACCGTGGGAGGCTTGGAGCCAAGCCACCCCAGGCATCCTCCTGTTGATTGTCCCACATCACCCCGTGGCAGTTAGGCTCGCAGATCCTGCCGAACAGCTTGTGCAGAAATCCCCAATGCTATGTGGATAGATCTGACAAAAGATTGCCTGTGCACTCCTTTGTTGTTTCTAAAGGGCATGATATTTCCCCTTGGACTTTGGTATTCACTCTTCAGTATCGTACAGAAAATCTTTGCTATAAGAGAAATGTCATATTCCATTCCTTGCCCATTCCCACACCAGAGGGTTTTTTTTTTCTCCTTTCCACCTGCCTCTGTGCATATCTGCCTCAGCCTCTTCATTCGCTGTCATTCAAGGCAGCCAAGCTCTAAAGAGCATGTTCTGCCCTGCTGAGCATCCCTGCTCGTGTCCCGCTTCCCTTCCTCCTTCAGCTGGCCATTGGGGATTCTTTCTTTTCTGAGACAAAGATGATGCAACTAGTTACAAAATGGAAGAGGGAAAAGGTTGTCTGCAGTCAACACAGACCTCTCAACGGGAAGAAAGAGGGCAGATGGGGTGCATGCACCTTTATTGCAGCTGGAGTGTGTCCTTTTTAAGGTAGAGACCATGAAAGAGCCTTGTAAAGACATCACATTGCACAGAAGAGGAATGTGTGTGCATGTGGCACAGGCTTCCTTTTATTTATTACTTAGAAGAAAACCCCTCCTTGCCCACCAGAGCTGGCAGTCCCAACCGGAGCCTGTCCCAGCTCCAGAGCTTTGCTCCCACTTTGGCTCTGCCCGCTTCTCCCTTCCCAGCCTGTTTGCTGTCCTTGCTGTCGTTTTTGTGACCATCCTCGCTATCTCCTTCTCTCATTCCCAGGGCCGTGGAAGCAACGTGATTCATTGCCGGAAGGATGGCACCTGGAGCGGCTCCTTTCATCTCTGCAGGGAAATGCAGGGCCAGTGCGCCCTGCCCACGCAGCTCAACAGCCACCTGAAGCTGCAGTGCTCCGGCGGCTACGGCATAGGTCTGTGAGCATCAGCAGTGAAGGGGATGAGGAAGAGGATGGGATTGAGAGGGAGGAAGGAAGGAGTCTGCAGTCCTTCAAGTCACCTTCTCCTATGGACCTGTTTGCCTGAGTGAGAGGCTGCTATGGGTGGATTTATAGGGAGCTGCTTTTAGGAAGGATGATGCTGTAGAGGCAGGGAGACACATAACGTGCTGACTGCCTGCTCCTTCTGGCATTTCCAGTTTCACTGTGTCCTTTCTTGGCCAGCTGGTTTTAAGGGGCAGCCAGCAAGCCAGACTGCACCAAAGACAGATCCAGTCCTAAAATAAGGGGAGATCTTGCACCTCAGTTTGCTCTTACAATTTTGTAATGTCCCCCTCCTTCAATCCCACATACACACACACACCTCAGTTGCCAAAAGGCAGGATGCTGGCAGGGAAGCACAGCAGCAGGATCATTCACATCTCCCCAGAAAGAATATGAGACCAGCTGAGAATCCCTTTGGTATGGCTGTTTTTTAGGAGCTCGTTTAAGGATGTTTTGCCCTTCCACCTAGGGTGTCTGGTCACTCTGCAGGGAGTGTTGAGCTTTGGGGTACTTTCTGAGCTCAGCTTCACTTTGTGTCACCCAGGCATACTTTCCATACTGCAAACACACAAAATTGGATTTTCAGCCCCAATTTTTAAAGTCTCCCTGCTGCACGGGTTGCAATGGGAGCTGCACAAGCTGCAGCCCCACCAGACCCCTTCCTGCAGCCCCCCACCAGGCCCCCTACCCCCGTCTGCCCCTTTGAACTTGGAGAAATTTCCTCGTTTCGTGGCTCCCTCATTATATCGCAGCCATGTGAGGGACCACGAGCCGCCTTGTGTTCCCTCCCTGGGGAGGAGAACACAACCTGGATGAGATCACCGCTCTGTAACGATGCCAATTACAGATCATATATCAAAACAATTCCGACCCGCTCCTCGCCGTCAGTGTAAATAGTGCGGCAGAGCGCGGGAGAGCGAGCAGCAAGCAGGCTGCGGCGACTCTTAATGTGGCAAGGCGTTTTACCCTTGAGATGAGGTTACCTGCCTGAGCCGGGCAGGGCTTTACAAAGGGAGAAATTGGGATTTCTGGCCTGGAGAGAGGAGCTTGGAGCTGGGAGCAGGAGGGCCTGCAGCTGCCTAGGCAGTGGGCTCCTGCCTTCCCTCCATCCTCTCCCAGCCCCACCAGCCTGGCCGCAGGTGCCATGCCCAGATGCGAGGTCTGGAGGACCTGGTCCTGGGACAAGGCCATGCAGCCGTCCTGCAGGCAAGGATCCATGGGCTGGATCCTCCTGGAGAGCACGAGGAACAGCTCGCAGAGGGCACAGCGGCCGTTGGCTTGTATCCTCAGCAGATGGAGACATACCACACACTTTGTTAGGCTCACCCAGCACCACCTTTCGGGATCAGGTTGTTGGGGTTTTCTTCTCTTTTTGGTGTTTTTGGGAGCCTGATCGATGGCCTTCCAAGAAGGTGTGCTCCCTCCACTTGCTCGCAGTAGGTCTTCAGGCACTTGTCCAGTGGGGCCATGGAGCTGCTACCGCGTGCACTAGAGAAGCAAAACAAACCCCAGGCGCTACCAGAGCCTCCCTGGCCAAGCAGGGTCTGCTTTGCTCCCGCTGACTCCTCCACGAGGGAGGATGCAAGAAGGCAGAAGCAGGTGCGGGAAATAATAGCATCCAGGCGTGGTCACTGTGAATCCCACACACCTTCGGTAATTCCTCAGACACCTAATCTGCCCTTCCAGGCTGAGGTGTGTGTTGAGCCAAAGGTTCAGCTCTCCAAACCAGCCCGGAGATTAATTCCTCCCCCAGCGCTGATTGGAGTGCAGAAATCCTAATGACATGTTTGCAGCAGCTGTGCCATTCAAGAGTGATTTTCCAGGGGGGAAATGGTAATGGTCCAACACACTAGGGCTTACGGTTGTGTCACCACAGGGCTCTGGGATATTGCCGCAGAGTATCGCAGCATGTTTTAATAAAGAAAGGACATGATTCCCACCGGGCATGACAGTTAATCAGAGAAAAACCAGGTTTATGTGTGAACAAAGCCATCATTACCTCTCTGTGTACTTATCAACTATGGGACTTAGGTGATAGCCTGCCTGCAGTATCATTAGGCTTGGCCACCATCTGAAAGATTATTATTGAAGGTCTGTAAATTTGCTAGATCAAGCGGGAGGATTATGTCATGTCATAGGTGAGATGAGTTCGGCAGCCTTAGCTTAATCAGTCCCATTGCTTGAAAGAGCAGTCGAAATGGAAAAACTTTCACATTTTCTTGATGATCTGAAAGAACAAAACCTGACCCCCCTCCTGGAGTTAATAGCCAGAGAAATACCTAGATATGCGGCTCATATAAAAAGACCCTGGAATATCTGCCCACCCCCCCAGTCTCCTGCAGAGAGGCAGGCTTGTACTCAGCATTTCGTGTGTGGCTAGAAGATATGTGATAGTTATGGTTGACTGCTAATTGCAATTTAGGAAAAACAGGCCCTAATCCTGTCCTTCAGCTGGAAGGATGCTGGAAGGGTAAGAAGCTGCTTGCTTGGTGCTGTAGCTTTATCCTCTCTATTTTGTGTGCAGGCGCAGAGTGTACCACCTCGTGTCTGGATCACAGTCATGAGCCCATCCTCCTGCGTGTGAACGAGACTGTGCAAGACATCCAACACTGGATGAACCCTCAAAGAGTGAAGGTCAGTGCCTGACAATTTTACTAACTAATCCCTTGCTGCGTGTTTGCATGCAGTGAGCAAACAGTGTTACCCGTGGTTCATCCAGTGAGGGGAGTATAAGAGGAAAGCTTCTGCCCTTCAGGAAAAGAACTCCTGGTTTTTATTGTGTCTTTGTGTGCTGTTCTAGCAATGTGGTGCCTTTTTCTCCAAGTTGTTTTCTTTCTGTGCTTTGCCAGTGAAAATCTCTTCAAGGTAGAGGCCCCAGTTCACTGTGCTCAGATCCACCTAGCACCTCCAAGGGTCTGATGTGGGAATGTGATTCATTACACAGGAAAATGTGATGGAAAATGAGAGAACAGGCATTAGCCAGGCCTTATTCTCTTCTTCCTCTTCAGTACAGTTTAGGTGGCAGGGCTGGATTTTTCGACACTGCTTTAGGATGACAAAAGAAGCTGATACAGAGGATATTTTGTTTCCTGAAGCAGCAGAGCTGGCTGGGTCCTCCCCCTGCCCGTTTGCCCGCATGCGAGAGCTGCCTGCTCAGCACAGCCCCTTCCAGAGGTCACCACTTCTTCCTCCTGCCCTGCAAAGGCATGGGCAACATCCACCACTTGCAATGCGCTGTCCTGTGCACCCTCCAGCACACGGCAGCGCCGCCTGTCCCTGTGGGGACACTCAGGCCCACGCACAACACCTTGCACACACACTCAGCCACACACACGCATGCCACTGGCAGCAAATAGCTGCTTGTCTCCTGTCTCCACTGGGATACCAGTGGGAGACACCCACCGCTTTCTGAAAACCCTCATGCGTCTACATAAACATGCCCTCCTGCTCTGAAATGCCTGCAAACAGGCGCTTGTGCACATGCAGGGTTTCTGCAGGTGTAGGCACCTTCCCAGGCGTGCTCAGGTGCAAGTCAGAAGGTGCTGGCCCATCCATCACCTGCCACCAGAGCGCAGGTTGCTGGTGGTGCATGAACAAACACCGTCTGCCTTTATGTAGTTGGCCCCAGCTTTGCCGCAGCCTGTGCTTTGCACACTGGAGCTAGATTTAGTAAGAGAGCAGGCAGCCAGCACAGCCCCAGTATATACAGAGCAGCTTTGACAATCTATTTGCTTCTCCACATGCCTAAATGTGTACCCAGGGCTTGGGATTTTTTTCAGTCTGGCCTTGGCTGTGGGTAGCGAGCTGCTCTGAAAATCTCCGCCACTTTATATTTCCCTATTTCATACGGGGCCATACGGAGCAATAGAATAAATCCTGGAAAGGGATGAGGAACATAAGTCCAGAGAATACGACAAGCTCATAGTGTCCGTCCCAGCTTCCCACTCACTCCAGACACCGAGATTATATTACTGCCTAAGCCTGGGCTTTGCCAAGTTTCTGGCATGAAACATAAAGAAAACCCCTATCTCTGTATTAGGGGCAATTTCTCACTGGCCCTTTCCCGAGTGCTAGACTTTTAAGTGGTTTTGTAATTCATGGTGAAATAAAGTGACAGCTTCCCTCCCGTTCTCTGCTGTGCTCCTTCGTTTATTGATGCGGGTGCGCAGAGGGAGCTGTAACGAGTTTTATACCTGCAGGTCTCTGGAGGGCTCATTAGGCAGCAGGGAAAACACAGAGTAGTAAAGGGGGAGATGAGGGGAGTGAGGGATGGAGGCAAAATCACAGTTTCCAAGAGTACAGTGGTAAATAAGACCTTGTTTGCCCTGATGGTGAGGACCTTGCAGGAGCTTTAGGCTGTGAGTAGGTACAAGTTTGACCCACAAGCAATTTGTAGGTGAGATTTGGGCTGGAAAAGTTGTACTGGGAGATGGAGGGGAACCTTTTGGGGCCTGCAGAGAACAGCTCCGTGCTCTGTCTCCGTGGGACCCAGAGCTGTGTCCTCCCAGACAGGGCCTGGCTGGGTTGTGCAGGGTTTTCTGCTTGTCGAGTAGCAGCACCAGGCTGAAAGACAAACCTGAAGGGCAGGCGGCTGGCGGGGCGATGCTAAGACATGCTGGAGGGGATTTTTTTTGAAGCTGTAAGACATCCATCACGTTCCGCTCCCCAGATAAGAGGATGTCACCCACGGGGAGCCGTGCCTCGCAGGGAGCCCACGCTGGGGGAAAAGCTGCTGCCAGTGGAGACCCTGGGGAGATGGGGACTGGGATGCCTTAGGGGAAGGTCCCCATGGCAATATGCTATGTATCATTAATAATATGTGTCTCTATTTACGTTCACTGACAGCTCGCTGTTGTGCCATATGAGCAAAGCGACCAGCTGGTTGCATTTACACGCAATCTTTGTTGATCTTGAAGTACTTGAATAATACAAAGGAAACACTTCTAGTTACTTAATTTCAGGCACAAATAACATACAAATCAGTGCAGTATGAGCAGCAGATAAAGGCAGAACCTGTCTGTGGGGTCTATATTTGACAGGCACAGATGAAACAGGGAGAGCTGGCAAGAAAAAAATATATTTGTGTGTGACTGCTCAAGCAACAGCTGTTGTGGAAGCAAAGTGGGAAGAGGGAACCATCCCTCCTCTGGGAGTTGTTTAGAGCAGAGCTGTGCAAATCACTTGATTTTTCGGTTCGCTGGAAGTTCTGTCAAATTAAAAAAAAAAATGTTTTCTGCTAACCAAAGTGATTTTTTTGTTGCTGTGATTTTTGGTGAACCAAAAAATTGGAGAAAAACCATGTTGGTTTGAGCATAACTTCATATTTAATTTCCAAGCATTTTTAATCTTCTTGTTTAATAAATGAAATAAACTTAGAAATTAAGTGTCCTCTCAAAGGAACAACAACAGCAGATATTTTGTTTAGAAAAGTGTCATAATATTAATGTGTTTTTTTCAGAATTGGTTGAGGCTGAGTTGCTTTGCTTGGTCTGAAACAGATTGCTGAAATCAGGGCAAATTTGCAGTGTCTTCCAAATCAACATGTTCAGCAGGAACAAAAAGCCACCTGAAATCTTTCGTGTGTCTGTTGCACTGTGGCAGGCCATGTTCGGAGCAATCATTGCTCTGCCCATGATTTCCCATTTTCCGCGTGCGTGCAAGGGGCAGTGAGCTGCTGAAGACACCTACAGATAGAGCTGCCAAGACTGACTATAAGGCAGTGGAGAGAAAAAAGTGAAATGGCTCAGAAGGACAGCTTGACAGCTCTTTCCCAGTGACTGCCGACACCTAATTTCCTAGGTTGTCTGAGTTTGGGTCCTTGCCTTTGTGTCAAATGTTTTGCAAGCATGTGCATGCCTGGGCAGCCTCAAAAGGGTCTTCATGCCCCGGCTGTGCCTACCTGCGTGGCTGATAGGGGATGCTGCCCCACTGCTGGCCAAGTTTTCCCCTATGTCTTGCACCCAAACACTGGAAGTCCTGGGATTGTGGGTGTCCTGGAGACATCAAGGGGAATTCTCTTTAAATACCAAGAGCAACCAGAATCTGTTGCAGAATCTTAGGCTTTGCAGCTTTCCTCTTTGCTTCCCCTCAACTCTTCCTGTGAGTTTGGGGCTCATTTTACAGGCAGAGAAACTGAGTCACAGCACGGTGAGGTGATTTATGGCAGTGTGGGGACCAAGTGCTCAGGAACACAGGGGCTCCTGCACTGTGTGGAGCTCCAGGAGGCCACAGACACCAAGATCCACATCTCCCCTCCCTTGTCAGCAGCGTCTGGTCCCCTCACCACCCTGACATTCAGCCCACAGTTAATTGTCGCGTTCATTTAGTGCCTGAGGAGAGAGTTAGCCGAGGCCAGCGGATGCCGGTCCCCATGCTCCAGCCCCGGGGGACACATGGCCCATCTAAGGTGGAGGAGAGCTCTCCAAGGCCTCTCCTGGGGAAACCTAATCCCCTCCGCAGCCCACAAATGGTTGACATCATTGTGTCAGTCCCACAATGGGGAGGGAAGCGCCGTGACCGGAGGCACTAGGTCTTCCCTCACAAGGAGAAAATGACAGCTTGATTTGCTTTCTTGGCTCTTTGTTACCTACTGTGGGAGCGCATCCCGGCTTCCTCTCCCTTTGCAGCAGATGGAGTCACAGCCACCAAACCACAGCTGGAGCTGAATGGCGTTTATGGGATGGGGACAGGAGCAAAGACAAGGCACCATGGCCGAGCGGGAGGGCAGCTGTGCTGCAGAAGCCGATGTGTGAGGGCAGGCGGGGGCCATGAGGCCTGCACATGTCGCTGCAGTGGCCTGGCGGTGTGTGGAGGGATGGGGCTCCTGTACTGTCGCCGAGGGAGAGGCCCCAAGGGCTTCCCCCAACACGTGTCAGAGGTGGTCCTGCCATCCTCTTTCTGCACCTTTTGGTGGCCTTCCCTTCAGTTGGATCCTGGTCACATTAACAGGCTCCTGCCTCAGCACTGCCTACACCCCTCCTTGCTTTTTGTTCATTGATTTATCTCTATCTCATTGCCCCGTACAGCACCCTCCTGCACCTTTGTGTCTGTTAGCACTGCAGGAGGCAGAAGTGATGCCCAGCAACCCGAATCCTCCCCAATTTCTCAAATTTCCAGCCCTCTACCCACTCCCCCTTTCCTGCCCTGCCACACTGCACACAGCACAGCAGAAGCCTGAGGGTACAAACAGGCCTTGTGCTGTGAATTCAGGTTTGGAAAATCAACAAGGGGAGCCAGGACTGTGATCAAGGCCCATTCCCCAGCATACTCTGCTTCCAGCTCCATGAAATTTAGCAGGATTGAACCTAGCTGGAGTAGCTCTAATAGTCTCTGCTAGCAAAGAATCGTCTGAGGAGAAGGCAAAGTAACTGGGACTAAGCCACTGGGCCACATTCCCATGCATGACTGTCCAGTTGAATCCTTTTGGCAGACACTGACTCTCGCAGAGAGGGGAAGAGATGAGTGGTGATTGTGGTGAAATGCTCTGGTTATCTGCTGGGACCTGAAACCTTTCCCAGGAGCTGTGTGAGTGTCCCACTGACCCAGTGATTAATCTCACGCAAGGTCAACTGGCTGTCCTACGCTGTAGCCTGGGGCTGCACGCCCTTTCCCTGGAAGCCGTCCAGCCAAAGGCTGTTTTAGCCACTGGGACTTAAGATGACCTTGAGGCAGAGCAGAGATCTGCGCTCTGAGGAGAGCACCGTCCTAGCAGAGGTGTCACCTTCCTTCTGCTCCTCTAAGGGGAAGGACAAAATGCAATAGCTGCTGGGTTTTTGATGCTGGGAAGGTCAGGGAAACAGTGCATCTTCTCTGAGGGATTGATCTCACTTGGAAACCTCCTTTCGTAAGAGCCTGTTTCAGAGCTATTCGACTCCTTTTGTTAGCTCCAAATGCTCATACACATCCACGTGGTTCAAGAGGTTTTGTAGATATTGATGCTTCTTACCAGGGGAATGTGAGATGCCCGTTGGAAGTACACTTTTCCTCCTTATTGGCTGGCTTCACATACGGGAGGCAAATGCCTGAGTTTTTCTACTTTGGTTTAAGACTTTGGTTCAAAGGCTCCTGAACTGCTTCCTTTCCTCTCCCCCCTCCCGATCTGTTGACTGGCCTTGTTTATTTTGAAACCTAGAAAAGTTTCCTTTCTTTTCCCTCTGAAGTGCAATAAACAGAAGAGGGGGGGAAAAAAAATCTCACCATTTGTGGCAGGCAACAGCCTGGAAATCTCCAGCTGTCTGTCAGGAGCACACTGGGGGAGCACCGCAGGGCCCCCGCACCTTGCAGCCTCCCTCCTGGGGGACAAGCAGGGTCCCCCCCTCTCCCGGCCGCTTCTGCACTCACACAGACGGGCCCTGTTGTGAGGCAGGTGGGGCAAGCCGGGCTTGACTAATAGTGGAAAATCCGAGAGCATCGGAAAGATAAACAGCCCCAGTCAGATAGTATAAAAGTCCTTTTGCTAGCACACGCCAGGTAAGCCTCAAATGACAGAAACTGTGAAAACATGCTGAGGTTCCCCTGCAGATGGATTAAATTAGCCCTCAAATAAACAGGGGAAGGGATGGCTTGTGCGTCAGGTCTTCCCAAATGTTAATTCCTTCCTTCCCCATGCCTCCATCCAACCCCAGCCCCTGCCCTTTGATGAGTACCTGCATGTTCATCTTGCCCGTTGTAGTGTTTCATCCGCGGAAGATAACCCAAGAAGGAACATTGTCGTGATGAAAGGATGGGAGTCCCATCACCTAGATGTCCATGGTATTGGACGTCCATCTCCACTGACTGGCCAAACGTTTCATCCACTCTTAAAATCTAAGTTTCCATGTCTGCAGGCAGACAATGACTGCCCTTGGTGTGTCTTTGAGTAGGCAGGTATCTCATTTTTCTCCAAAACTAGGCACTCCAACTTTTTTCTTACAGAAAATCTATAAACATAGTCAGTGCAGAAATTATTATAAAGCTCATAGAGTGAAACAGATGACGCTGTCCTTTCTGGGGGTTATTTTGAAGGTGTGTAGTGGGATGTGCTTCTATTTAAGAGCTAAAGGATGGTGCGAAAATGTATCTAAAAGTCCACCTTTATCTGTTTACATCTTCAAGAAGCACAGATATGGGTAGTGAAACAGAGCAATGCTTTGCAGCACCAAAGAAATCCCTAAATGAATTCCTAAAATGACTCTTCCCTACCCAGGAGCTGGACAGTGGACCTGTGCCTTTGCCTTTCTCTGCCTTGTTCCCCCACCATGAGTAAAATATTGGACATGACATTTTAGGAAAACCTTAAATATTATTTTACTCTCAAATGTTCTGTTATTGCAAGTGTCAAGTCCAACACTTCTTGTAAATACCTGGAGGAGAGCCAGGTCCTGAGAACACAAGAGGTGTTAGGAACTGAACTTCATTGGTTAGGTACAGGAGAGCCATAGGAACCAGCACGCTGACTTTCTGTACACTGATTTCTTTGTCTTAACTTGATTTTTTTTTTCCTTCTCTCCTCCAGAGCGTTGTCTGCACGGCAGGACTCAAGTGGTACCCTCACCCTTCCCTGATTCATTGTGTCAAAGGCTGCGAGGTGAGCTTTTGCATTAGTTCAGACGGTCCCTGCTAGCTCTTCTAAATGTTATGGTAGCAGTCACTGCAGTCACGTGGGCTGGAAATGTTTTTCAAGTGGGGCAGACAGACTTTTGCTTTGACCATCTTGTCAATTAAACTGAGATCTCCTGCACCAGTTCTGACACTCAGTGTTGAAACTGGTGATTTTCCTAGAACCGATGGCTGGGTGAGGTGACTCTTGCAGGAGCTGAATGATCAAGTGGCTTAAGAAAATTGGTAGACTTTCAGAAATTCACAGGATTTGGGACTTTCTGGGAAGCCGCAAAAAGCCTTTATTTGTTTTCCACATCTTACTAAAGAACCAATGTTTCCTAAGGCAAGCTAGACTTCAGGCTTTGGTGTGGAGATAAACTTTAAGAATGACAGAGGAAAAAATGATGCCACTTGGTGGACAGAACAGCTGGACAGTGAGCAAATCAGGCATCCTTCCACCAAGAGCCTCTATCCGAACAGGAAAAAAATCCGAAAAATGTAGTTGCATTTTTAGCTATTATATATTTTTACAGTCTTACTTCTTATATGCAATAAGCGATTACTTTGGAGAATGATGTTTCTGCTGGCAGCAATCTTTGTGTAGTCAGAACTCTTAAGATGTTGCCAGTGGTTAAGTGGGGCTGGAGCACCTTTCTCTGGGTCGTGGCACTCATGGTTGCCATCATGCCAGGACTTGAGTGCCTCACCCACCTCAAGAAGTCAATCCTTGGGGCATCTCTGTAAGGCTAGGAAGCATGATGCTCATTTTGCAAGTGGGAAAACTCACAGGCAGGGGCATTGGTTGCATGGACGTGCTCTGGAAGAGCTGTGTCTTGAACCCAGATCTGCCTTCATACAGCACCAACTAGACTCCCGCACTCAGTTTTACAAGCGCATTGAAGTTATTTGCCCACAGTGGTGGAACGTGGCACAGAACTCCTAAATCTGACACAAAACACTAGACCACATTGCTGTACGGCGTGATTTGTCTTGAAGTGAAAGACAGGTTTCCTTCGCATACAAATGTTGGGCCCAAGAGGGTAATAACTCTCCAACAATGTAATAGTTTCTGTCTAGTTGCTCCCTAAATGAAAAGCATTCTGCTGTCAGTGCTTTGAATGTCATAAGCCATCTCACGCATTACATTCATGCAGGCTGGCTGGGCGCCCCTATTCTCCAAAGAGAGCTAAAATAACATCCAGCGACCATTAAGAAATGCCATTCAGGTGCTGATGCACCATTGGGTATCCATTCTCCTGCTGTTTAAGGGTAGTTGTTACTGAGGCAAACTTTGCAATGATGTAATAATTTACCAGAAGCCATTATTACTGACATGCTTTTTCTCAGCATTTTCCTTCCTTCCATCATTGTTAATTGCCAGATCCCTCTGCATCAATAGACACTTCCTTCTTTTCATCATTCATTCAGCAGTGTCACTGCATCGCAATCTATCATCTTGGAAGGCTTTGCCCAGACAATTGATAATGGCCTCTAGCATCATTTTTAGAGCATGATGCTTCCAGGATCCAAGAATGGGCCAGAGCTTGTTCTCTGGCATTAAGATTTCAGAAGAAATGCCGTCTTCACCAAGCCTTTTTCATGATTATGGAAACAGAGAATAATATGCCAGTAGGTCAATGATACTGGGCCAGTAAGCTGATACAATCCCTAATGTATTAATTTCCTTAGCATTACGGAGGGTTCCCTGAATAGAAGGCTGCAAGCGGGGCGTTATTTTGCTCTTGGCAATCAATGTGGTAACCCAGACTGCTGCAATGTGATTTTTTGTCGCTCCCTAGTGGCAGGAATAGAGGTTTATGAGTCAGCCACGTACTTCTAGGCAGCTAACTTAGGTGTTTTATTGGAAAAGTAGTGCCCCTGGGCTACCTATATAGTTAGTGGAGAGAACAAGGCTCCTCCAAAAATGTAGGAGCACTGAGATATGCATGACACTACAGACCTCACCCTCGACAGCGAGTCCTCCAGGGCCTCCCAAATGAGGATTTGGGTACCAAATCGTAATAGATGTTATTTGTCCCATTGTTTTCCTCCAAAGGATGGACTTCCCTACTCTATGCCAGTGTGAATAAATGGCAAATTCTTCCATAAATTCCTCTCAGTACTTTTCCAGTGTTTGTAGGTGTTGGTTACAGGTGTGAGCATGGAAAATTAAAGCAAACTTTCTTAACAAGCAGGCATGGCCAGGCAATATGAGGGAAACATGGAGAAGCCTATTGAAATGTCTTGGGAGGTTGAGCAAAGTTCACCTTTTTGAATATGACCAGGTTGGCATAAAAATCTCTCTCCATCTGTTTATAAATAATTCCCTTGTAACTCATGGTATATTAATTAAATTGGAAGGGCCTTTACAAGTTAAAGTCTTTGTCTATACAAATGAGTCAATCTGTGGCAGTTGGCAGAGTTAAGCCAATTTGCAGGGATAGGACTCTCAACCTGTAATTCTGCTTTCTTTGTTGGCATTTGCTGGATTTGCTTTTAACAAAACAAGTGACACTCAATTAGTCAGTCATTTCCTGGTAGTCCTGCCCTGGTCCAATATTGCCATTATTGCCTGGACTTCATATACCATAATAGAGATCCTTAAACCTGCAAAACAGCAGTAAAAGCTTGCATCCACACCACTCCACGGAGTTCATTTCAACACAGCTGAGTACGGCCGTGGCTCTTTCTAGGGAGAGCATGGCGAGCTCTCACTGCTAGTTCCTCAGGTGTCTATCATCAGGAAATCTCTGGTACTGCAATTGCTGCTAAATCCTCCCAGGAACCCTCCACAAGCCTCCCCAGCCTCTCTGTGAAGATGATTTCTTATAGGAAAGTCCCTCGTGTGTTTTTCTCAGTGCAGAACAAATGAATTTTCCAAAGAGCAAATAAAATGGGAATGTCCCCATGAGCCTGCGAGTGAAAGAAGTGTTACGGAGATATGACTGGGCTCTCTGATCAGCATCCATTTTTCCAAACTTTCAGAGCTGCTTGAGTTTCTCATAGATGGCATGGTGGTTTTTTAGCATCAGGCACAGACTTGACTTCCAAGCAAGTCTCTTGAGGACTCCAATGTGTAATGAAGATCCAGACTTCAAACCTTTTCTTCAAAAATCATGATTATTATGCAGGGCCTGTGCAGCGCATAGACTGGCGATCACGTTGCACAGACTAGTGACCACATTTTCTTTTTCAAGGTGATTTATGAATTTTACTTAATAGCTCTCCTCAACAGCCCTCTGAATAATTGCCATTATCCCAGCTCTAAACTTGGAGTGGAGGGAGATTACATGTCGTGGCCAAGGTCACACACAGTAAGTGCTAGGTAGAGGATGAGGGCATGTAGTCCCTGTGCCCAGCTCTGATGGCTTCCATTTCTCTTTGAAATATGTTTGTACCCTCCTTGCTGACACTTGTTGCATAGTTAGGAGAACTGTGGTTGAAAGTACAACTATTAAAAGCAAGCCAGTTTTGTTGCTATACATAACCTTCTTCTTTTCCCACATAGTTTCAGAAGGTTAGCTTAAAATTATCAAAAGGTGACACAAATTTAGATGCCTTGATGCTGTTCTCTGGGCCTAGTTAAATTAATATTCTCGAAGCATCTTCTTATGTGGGATGTGAAAAGCCAACAAGGGCTCTAGTGTCCTTTTTTTTCTGTCTGCTCTGAAAGGAGAGGGGAATAATTATCTCTTGTTTTTCAGGGCAGTCAGTAATGTTACAAACTATATGGCTCCTTCAAGGCTTCATCTTGTTCTGGCAACTATTACTGTTAATCCCTGTCCATGTCCTCAGTCTCTCTGCTTTTTCACTTTCCAGCCTTTCATGGGGGACAACTACTGTGACTCCATCAACAACCGAGCCTTCTGCAACTATGATGGTGGGGACTGCTGTGCCTCAACAGTCAAGACCAAAAAGGTAAGGATGCCCCTTTCTTTTTTTTCCCTGGGAATTCCTCATGGAGTGTTGCTTTGTGCCCAGAGAAATTTTATTTTTACTAGAATAGGTGATCTGAGGTCTCAGAAGAACCTTCAGTCCAGGCACCACCTCACTATTGACATTCAATTCTTGTTGGTTTGTTTTGAAGTTCTCTCTTGATATGTATGTGCATTTCCCAGCAGAACCTGCCTTATGCCATGCCATGTAAGGCACATCCTTAAAGTAGTTAGAGGTGTTCATTCATTTCTGTTGTAAATAAACACTAGCTGCGATATAGGCAAAGGCCATCTCCCTCCTAAACTCTTGAGTATGTTCATCAGGAAAGCTGTTGGTCATCCATTTTGCATCTAGTGCTCAACAGACCTTCACAGAGAGACACTGAGAAGGGTATATTTGCCCAACCTGCTATCCACCATCACTGCTTAAAAAGGAGACTAAAAGTTCAGATTAATTTAGAGAGGAGCAGAGAGACAACCAGAAATGTCATTGCAAGTCTGTGCGTCATTCCATGTGCACCCACATGCACATGGCTCTCTGACCATCACACCAAAACAATAGAGTAGGACAGACAGAGGTGCAGAGAAAAGCAGCAGGATTGGTCAGAGGTAGGAAATGTCTTCTGCACAAGGAGAAACCACTTACCTCAACTAGGACATGAAAAACTTGCAAAAGAAGCAATGAGTATCAGTAGTGGCAGAAATTTATAAAATCAAAATTTAATGGAGAGAAGATGCTTAGGTAAATAAAATCCTCCATTTCTTATCACTTAGCAATTAAGGGGTGAATTGGTAGTTACCTGGAGGCAGGATCCAGACAAATGAGAGAAAGTGCTTGTTCACACTGTGTGAATTTAAGTGACAGGATGCATTGCCACAGAGTATTAGTAAGATCAAAATATATTTGAAGTCAAAACAAGAATAGGCACATTCATGGAGGAAAGGTCCATCAGTAGCTATTAAACACAGTGATCTGGTTGCAGTTTCTGGCACAGCAATACCTAAAACACTCAATTCCTGAGCAAGAAAAGGATCCCTCTACACATCCCCTTATTTTTAATGCTTTTTTTTTTTTTTTTAATACTCATTTCTGGCTAGTGTTAGAGACAGGAGAGTGATGAAGCTTGTGGTTTGAAACACTACAATATTTCATACATTTCTAAACAGGATAGATTTTGAACTTATTTCCCAAAGAAAGGGAAGAAACTTGTAGCCTCTGGCATGAACAATTTTTACCTCATCTTCAAGATTTGAGTGTAGATCAGAATGAAGAAAATCCAGCTATTTTAAGTATCTGATGTACATTAATAAATTTGAAAGCTTGAGAATAGACAGAGGAAGCCTAGATTTAGCGATGAGATCATGCATTTTACCAGTCTGAGGAAGAAGCTTCTCTCTACCGCAGCTAAGGGACTGAAGACCTCTTTGTAGGGAACTGTCCTTTCTAAAACAGCTTTTGATGGGGGGGTTCTTTTCCTTGGTTCAGCCAAAGATCTTGTGCTGGTGCAGTGCTGCGGGCTGTATCTGGCCCATCTGGGGACACTGGGAAAGGGAAGTGGACGTGTCTTGGGGCAGAGACAGGACTGAAACACATAGGGTGTGGGGCTGAATTGAGGGGGAGAGGGGCAGGAGTAAGGTTTGGGAGCAAAATTTATTGCTGGACGGGGAGCTGAGACAGAGTGGGGTCTGCACAGACCAGGCAGTCGTGAGCACTCACCAGCCAGGCGAGTCACACTGCAAATATCTGCTGCTTCGCTGCCACCCAGAAACGAGGTGACCACCCAGGCAGGGGAACGCGCTTTGTAGCCCTGTCGTTTGCTGTTTTCTGTGCTAAAACTGCCCGACGCAAGGAGCAGATTGTTCAGAGGCAGGCAGCTGGGCACACTTCTAGTGCATTTCGCCCACGGAGAGGGAGGTTTTGAGTTTTTCTGGGGGGTAAATCTACTTTCACTGACTGCACTGGGAAACCCTTCCTGAAGCCTGTCACATCCTTGGCGTGCACTCAGCTCTCCAAAGCTTCTCCTCTCTCCCAAAACACCACCGATGACCCAGAGGCCAAACAAGGCACTTGAAAGTGAGAAAACTGCCTTCTCCTTGCGCCTTGCAGGCCAAAAGCAAGAAGTCCAAGTCTCAGTGTATTACATTTATTGGGTAAAGAGGGGGCTAACAGCACTGCATGGCAGACTGGGACACCTGCAGCGGCAGCAGCGTGGCTCTATGAGTTATTTTCCTGTCTGAGGCCTTTGACTGGAGAGCAGATTTTGGGCAAGGCTGTTCAAACACAGCTCTGCCTTTGAAGAACTTTATGAGTGGAGCGTTACAGGAGATATTCCAAGGGGAAAAACAATGAAAGGTGAGAGAAAAGGGAGCTGAATAAAAATACTCCGCATACCAAATCCTTCCAGCACAATTTGCCACCTACTTAAACAGGCACAGTTTTAAAATACACATTGGGTGTAAAAGCCAAAAACCTGGAGGAGACATAGGGAGGGGCGAGTCCAGCTCCGTTAATTCCAATACCAGATGAGGATGTATTTTCATATGGTTGTAGAGAGAGTGAAACACATGAAAGAGCCTGCTTTGCTCCTTTTCTTTCAGGGTTACGTACTATGTGGCAGATGTGTCAGTCTTTTAAAGCCCCTGCAAGTTTACCCATAAATGTCTAACATTTATGCAACACCTGTTTTTCTCCCAAAATGTCACAGGACATTTTACAAGCTTGAGATTTATCATCTTTTCACCGTCGCAGCCATTGCTGAGGTGACACATGGTTCACATTTAACAGAACATAGCAACTCCGCACGTTATTTTAGGAAAGGGCTGAAGATTAACATTGCATCATGTGAAGATTCAGAAGCTAACAGTCAAGTAAGAGCTGACTTCAGATCTTTAATGTCCGCAAACTGTCAAGACTTAAGTTACACTGCATTCCCACCACCCTCCCCAAAACATTTTCGGCTCACGCAGTGCTGCAGTCCGGGTTGTCTGAAAGCACAAAGATTCAACCCATATTCACGTTAATCTCGAGCCTTCTTATTTAATGTCAGATTCTGCTCCTGTTTTATCGGCCTGAAAATGCACAAGAGGCTTCCATGCCGCATTTGCTTAGGCCACGTTTCCTCTTTGCATTTGAGCATTAGCAGCAAATGACCTTGTGCATTTCTGCACCAAGAGGGGAGCAGAGCGGTGTGACTTATCTGGCCAACCACTGGCTAATCAGCAATGTTGCTTAGATAGGAAATAATGAGTATTTGCTCTGCACTATTCCCAATCAGTCCAGAGAGCTTAAAAGAAATCATTAAAGACCTCTATTGAACACTGCAAACACCAGCGAATAAATTCAGTCATATTCTGTGCATAAATTCTAGGCAACTGCAGTCAGCATGCGGGAAAGAGAGACATTCATCAGCTTAATTATTTGTTATGTGCTAATTGATCAGCGTCCCCATGCAGTGGGCAAGAAGCCAGGGCTGGCTCAGCGGCGGGCAGCACCCAGGGCAGCAGGGACACTCGTCCTGCAGTGCCTGACGGTGCGGCCCCAAGCGCGGGGAGGTGACACGGTCTGCAGTTGAGGCAGAGGACAGGGCTGCATGGCTTGCCCTGTGTATGACCCAGGAGCAGCTTTGAGAGACAGGAAGGCCATTGCCGGCCAACCTCCAAGGGAGAGAAAGCTTCTGTTGTGTATCTGGAGGGGATAAAGTCTTCCGTGAAGGACAAAACAAAATCCCGTCTCCTTTTCATCTTCCTCTCCTCCTGACCCAGCACAGGTTGCCAGCTCCCTTCTTGCCTGGCTGCTCTAGGAAGTTGCTTCTTGCTTTGTGCCCTGCTGCAGATAAAAGAAGATATTATTTTTTAAAACATTAAATACATGACAGTGCTGAAGTGGGGAAAATAAATAACCCGGGCATTGCTGGCTGCCTCTGGGCTGGCGGCTCCTGGGGTGTGCAGCGTGCCAAGGAGAGTAGATGGCTGTTTCTTTCCGATTGGTTTCAGGAAATCTCTCCAGTCGCTGTTCTCCTTCACTTCTTTTCTCTTTTCCTTCCCTTCTACAGCTTTTCCCTGTGCAAGGCTGTCTAGAAAGGCCTCACAGAAATCCGAAATGTTTCTCTTCAGGCTCTGCTTACGTACTTTGTTCCAGACTCAAATTGCAGATTTGCTTAGTTGAAGATCCGGCAGTCTGGTCCCTGCAAATTTAAACACACGGAATTTGCCGCTTTAAATTTTCCCCAACATAAACTGTCTGAAAAAGCAAACTTTCTTCTGCCTTTCTTCTCCGTTTTCTCTTTTCATCACATAAGGGGTAAACCTGCAACCCCCGTGAGAAAAACGTGTCTCAATCAGTTATCGCCCAGGTTTTCCCTCGACCACTTTGCCCGTAGCACTTAGAAAAGAAAAAGAAAAATCATCCTGGCAAAAATTCCCATCTCAAATGCCGCCCCTTCAGCCTCTTGACATTTCTGTCCAACACCTTGGAGAGGAAAAACAGCAAGTGCCTTGGCGGAAAACAAATGAGGACTTGCGGTAGATAGAAAACCGCGTGGGATTCATCCAAAGCTTTGCTTATCTACGAGATATGCAACTTATCAAAACCTCTTCAGAGACTTTATGGCCGAGAATTCAAGGCCTAAAGAAAGGAGCTTTGAACTGAAGGGCTGCTGCTGGCTCCAGCAGGGATTTCCCAAGCCTGTCCCTGGCTCCCCGGAAAGGGGGGGTCTGCCCCCTTCCCACCCCTAAGAAAACAGCAATAGTCATCTCTTGGTATTTTGGAGAAATCAAGGCCTTTGCCCAGCTCTTCCTGCAACACAGACCTGTCCTGGGGAATCACAGGTCCTGCTCCCCTGGCAGAACGTGGCTGTGAGGCAGCTCACACAATTAGCAGCCTAAGTGACCACCCTGGCCGAGGCAAGTCAGCTTATCCAGAAGGATCGATGTCCATGGCACGATGCTGCTCCGAACTGCTTGCATGTCCCCAGCTGGGTGTGT